CCTCACTCAGCTCACATCCTAAGCAAAGGGAGGTTTTTCCCTGTCCTTGATCCCTGTTCCATGGAGCCCCTTTGTCTCCCCACCTTCATCTTAGCTTCTCTCTGTGTGTATGTTTTTCCTTTTTAATTCTTCCAGCAAAAATTTAAAAGGTACTTCTCAGTTGTCAAGGCAAACAAAAGCAAGCTCGAACAAAGATACGCTGGATGGTTTTTAGAGCAAAGTAAAAATCATAATGTCTTTAGAAAATGTAGTGAATCTAAAAGCTCAAAGACTTTTCTCTCAGTCAATGACTCAAATAATTTCTGTCAGGGAATAACAGGATGATGATATGTTGCCCATTCTGGCTTCCCACCTCCTTCAACAAAATTTCTAAAAATATAACATCAAAGTGAGATCTGATGTGTTAAAGGGGAGTGAGTGGAGGAAAGGGAAGGAATTTCTGAAAATCTGTGAGTAGTGGGATCCCTGTGGCAACATCTGTTTTTGTACTGGATGTGTTAAATTTACAATAAGCCATTTTTGTTGATATTGCAGCAGGTAAATATTTATTGCCAGGGTGGCCAACCTGTATCTCAGAAGCTGCGTTGCAAAGGCAGCTTCTGTGCCAGGGTTACTTCAAAGGGAATGATAGATCCATACTGGGTAATTCAAATTCCCAAAAGGGAGATGAAATTACTTGTAAGGACCTGCCAAAGTCAGTAATGCTGAGTGGCTTTGCCACTTACATGCATGTCCAGCTAAATCTCATTTGGATTACACAAGTAGGAACCCTGAAGGGGTCTTGTTGCCTTCTATCTATGAACCACTCCTAGAACAATCCCTGACCCACACATGTAATTTGTGTCTTTAGCCAAAGATGATTTAGAAATGTGGTTCACAGGCCAAAGAAGGCTGATCTGTCTTGTGTCCTAAACAGAGAATAACACTGGCTGTCCAATTATTTTCATAAATAATAGAGAAAACCTGATAAATATATGAGCAATGGAACTAATGAAACTTGTTTTATTCTGACTTTGCGATCTGATTCTGTAGTGCCTAAACAGCTTAAGTTCTTGCTTACACAAGGCTAAGTTATTCATAACATTACTTTTAAGTTTGGATTTCCTTCCCGTTGAAAGGAAAAAGTCATCGTCTAAATAGATTAAAAGTTCAACACATCTCTTCATCCTGGTCCAGTATCTTTTCCCTCAAAATGTAACTTTATTGCTTTTGAGACCCTGAAATTAGACAACTGATTCAAAGTTATTTTTTCGTATATACACAGGCAATGTAGGTCTTGTTTCCCCAAGAACATGGATGTTAAGAGGTTGTTTGAAAAAGTGGTCAAGTTTAAGTAAACAATTTTATTTGTGCATTAGAAGGCAGGATTTACACATGTAAAGTAAATATAGGAGTCATTAAAACTGTCCTTGATTCTAAAACATACTCCTGGTCTTCATGAAGATTTGACTGATCTTGCTAATCCTGCCTGGCCCTGGATAAGAGTTTCAAACTAAATAAAATATTTTTACAGCAGCTCATTGCTGGCTCCACTATAGTGAAGTCTCCAAGTCTGCCCATCTGTCTTCTCTAGAACTTCTGTTTGTAAAGGCAGAAGGTTCCTTCCTAAGCGGGTTCAGTGTTAAGCCCTGAAATAAGGGTGCTTATCCCGGTTTCCAGTGGTAGTGGAGTTCTTGTGTTCTGTTCAGTTAGGAAATTCCAGCGGTCTCCTCTGTGGTCCTCTCACCCTCCTGTTTTGGAATAGAAGGTTCCCGAGCTGTTAAAAGTTAGATCCCAGTTTTAATTTCTCCAGTGTTTGGAGAAGTTTGGGTCAGCATCTCCTATAAAAAACAGTCCAGAGCTCAACTCTGAAGCTGATTCTTTTTGACCAAGCTCACAGATGGCTGGAACCACTTCCTACTTCAAGCCTTTTATTCATCTCACCCTACCAGTTAATGCCAGGTGTGACTGCCTAGACAATTTGGATCTCTTCTGGTGTATGGGCAGAGGTTTCAGCTGGGCACACCTCTATTTCTGGTTAAAGATTCTCGTTGTTCCTTTTTTGTTAAGAACTCATAAACCCTCTCCCTGAGATAACTTCATATTTTAGCACTATGGCAGGAATCCCTCCTTGTGAGCTTTCCAGCAGCTGTTCCATAGCTTGAGCATAAAGTCACCATTTCCCCTCAGGCTCTGCTGCTGTTTCTGGGTGGAGGAGGGGTGGAGATGCTGTTCTAGCACACAGTGGGAAAAGGGAGCTCGGGAGGTTTGAAGAAAACCGGAGAAAGGCAGGGAACAGCAGCTGCTGTTGCTACGAGTGAAAGAACTGCAAAACACTGTCTTTTTCATTCCTTCCCCCACATACCCAGCCTGCAGTGAGAAGAATGGTGAGCGAGCAGAATAAACATATGCTGCTGTACCCCAGGTCCTGCAAGAAGTTAGAGGGCCTTTAAATCCAGAAACAGAACTTGACCCTTTCTTTAAGGTTTCAGACAGATTCTTCAATCCCATCTGTTGTGGTTGAAACTAAGGTGAAAGGAATCAATGCTGAATCCTTCATCTGAGGAAGCTTTTAAAATGTTTATTGATGCTCAGTAATGAAATACAGGATCTTTTTTCCAGTGGGGAATTTTACAGGATACAGACGGTCCTGTTCTTCCTTCTGCCGATCCTTCCTGGAATCTCTTGAATTAATAAGTTTAATAGGTCTGGATGGTTTAAACATTTTAATGCTAAATTTGGGACATATGATAGCAATTTCCATGCAAGTGCAATGGCACAAAAGCACAAACAAGCACCAGAGCTGTAACCTCTCACTGTTTGGGTAGACAGGGTTGCCCCATACATTGGTTCTGATTCTAGTTAGTCTCTTCAGAGAATCTTTTTCTGCTGCCTGACTAAAAACATCCAAGATACTACCTAGGGAATGGGAGCCCCACTAGCCCTGGTAACCTGCTCCTCTAGCCTCTTCTCCAGGAGCCTCGTGTGGTTTGGTCCCAGCTCCCCTGTCTGCCTCTTGGCTCAGATGGTAGAAAGAGCTGAGCAGACAGTTCAGCAGCAGCAGAACAAGGATTTGATTTTCAAGGCCGTATCTGTGGACCTGAGAGGTGGCTGGAAATGGAATATGTGAGAGAGGAGTGCTGGGGAAAAGATTACTTTTTTCCTCTTGGTAGTAGAAATAGGAGCTGATCTCAAATATGGCAACAACCTCTGATGGCAACACCATTCAAGGAAGACATTGCTTTCACAGTGCCTTTCCCTAGTGCTGTGGGCACATTATAAGGTCATTCAGAGGAACTTTGAAATTTTGTGTAAACGGATTTTGTAGCAAAAGGGTCTCTTCTTGCCTGTGCTTCCCCTGAGAAAGGGTAGGATGCTCAATAGGGTGGTGACACAGATCCAGCCTGACGTGGTCATTGGCCTCTACAGCACAGGGAGCATTCTTTGTGTCTTCTGGAAGGTATCTTCAGGTTGTTTCTTCCTTTATTTGAATAGGAAGAGTTCATAGTAGTGCCTGTGGGTGATGATAGATACAGAGTCTTCCCTCAGTTTCCTAAGAATGACTAAACCAAAATTAATGATAATATTTTCATATAAATAGCTCCTATGTCTTCATTTTCTTATGAATCTTATGACTGGTGCTCAGTATTTAGAGAGAGAAGTTTATCAGTATTTGTTTTCCCAATTCAATTTTCCCTGCTCATTACTATTTTGCACACTAACTTTGGTGCAACTGAATTTTTTTAGTGGCTTTTACATCTGAAAGAGAAAGTATTTAGGAGCAAGCTTTTTATTCTCAGAGTGGTGAACATTGGGAGTGTTAAAATCCATGGTATATACAGACTTGGAGAGTTGTAATAAAATCTTGAGGCCTAAGATGATAGGAAGAATGGCTGCTCATAGTAACCTGAAATACTGAAATACCAGATCACCTAAGTTTCATTTTGGGTATTTCTTGGTTCTGATGTCATATCCTCATGCAAAAATGATTTTATACCAACTTTATCATTGTTAATAGTGATACATATCTGTATTTTATCTGGATTTAATAGGCCAGGCCAAAGGAGCTATATATGAAGTTTGAATATTAAAACAGATATTGTTACAAGGACTCATTAAATAAACATTCATTCCTTGATGCTTTTGTGTACTGTGAAAGGAAAATTTCTCCTTTTACCTTTCCTTTTCCAAGTTAGAAAGAAGCCCAAACTAGATAAAACTGTGCTAGGAATATCTAGTCTGTCTTTTTTTTCCCCTGGGCTTAACTGGTCACAAGTGGTGATGAGAAAGATTTAGTCTGTAGTGGCTGAAGTGTCCCTGTGACAGCTGCAAGCTCTGCTGAGTCTGGTGTAACTCAAAAGAGGAAGGATACTCTGGTCTGCAACTCAAAAGAGGAAGGATAAAGTAGCAACAAGGAATGTACCAACAAAGTATTGTAGTCCCAAATGTGGATAACGCCCCAAATTTAGGAGCTGTTTTATGCTGCCATACCAGCCTACGTGACCTGATCTCCCTTCTAGCTCTGCAGAGGGAATGTAACTGCTCATAGTGGAATCTAGCTATAGCTGTCCATGATGAATTATTGGATTTTAAACAAGCACAACCACACAAGATGAATGGAGGGTACAGAAACGCTAACTGCGGAATTTTTTACCTTGGGTTGGTTGAAGTCATTGCAATCCTCAAGTGTTTTATCAGGTGTATGCATAAAGGGGTGGGAGGGCAGACATGCAACAGCATGCACCTTCCACTGTGCCTGGGGATGGTGTTCTCATAATACCAGAGGAAAGTTCAGGGAAATATGTACTCTCAGTAATTATATCCTGGCTTTCTGTGCAGGGTAATTTCAATCTTTGCAGATGCCTTCATCTATCTGGTGAGTTTAGTGGTAAAACTGCTTTTCTTCTCTCTCCTTAATTTTACTTCCACCTCCATTTTTACTTCATGGTATTGTAGCTTTTCCACCAAACAAACAGCAAAGAAGCAAGCAATCCTGATGAGTAATTTTTCTGTTCCCACAGGCAGAGATGAAGAACCTATTCTTTCTGCTCATGCTAACAACGATGTCACCTTCTGCATTTTCAGTAAGTAAATGCTCTTCTGAGCACTGTTACAAGAAATGAAAGATACTGCTGTTAAGAACTGTCAACATCTGTAACTCAAGTGCTTTGTAGAAAGTATTTCTGAAAGAGCTAATAGGTTCAAGTCATCAGAACTATTGTGGCACATCTTATGAAAAGTCTAACATGGCAATTAAATAATGGAATTCTGGTAGTGCCTTTGGTTCTAGGGATGTTATCTGCAAAGCAGTAATTGCTGTCTCCTGCTTCAAAGCTAGAAAGAGTTATCACTTGAAATAAAGAGAATGGAATTTTGGTTAGTTCATTATTCTCTTTTCTTTGGTCTTAAAAGTAGTAGCCATGTGGTTTAGCTTTGCTGGGAGAGGTTACTTTATGTTAAGCCAATGTGATATTATCACAAAAAGAATGCAGCAATTATGAACTGGGATTCCTGTTCCTTTCTGAGTGAGAAGCAGGATCTTTCTGAAGTAAATATAGCTTGAAAACAGTTTCCCTGACTTGAAGTTCAACTTTATTAGTGAGTTGGTCATCTAAGGTAAAAGATGACCTGCAGAGTAGAGTGGAAGTATTAACACAGGAAGACATTACATGTTTGTTAGGTGTAAAGGAAAAGAGAGTGGGGAAAAAAAGAGGCAATTATCACTTGGAGTAAGTGTTTTTGCTTTCTAGGCCGCCTTTGAAGATCAGGAATGAGAGACCAGAAATCAAGCAGAGTTTGTTAGTTGTCATATTTTCTCTTACAGATGGAAATATGCTTAAATGAGTGTCTGCTGTCTCACATCTAATAAAAACTCATACTGTATGTTAAAATAACCAGAAATTGAATATATTCTATTCAGTTCATCTGTTCACCTGCCTATCTCAAATTTGGAGATATTGGTGATTTTTTTTTTGGAAGGAATATGACTGAAATACCCTGAGACTGGAAGGCTGATATTTCTCTATAGCATTAGACTCTACCCCCTGCATGCAATCAATAGTTCCTCTTGAAGCCATGCTGAATGAAAGGAGAAGTTTTGCTTGGCCACCACTTAAGTTCAGTATTGTCCATTTCCCTGACATACTGGATCTGTCCAAGTCATACATTTCCTCTGAACACTGTTTCTTTATATAGATCTGCATTTCTAGGTTGAAATGCTGGTTTTTAATTTATTCTAAATAATTCAACATTGTTATTGTTTAAAGTGTTAATCCATTGAATAGACTTTTAGATGTCTTACGCAGCTTTAACAAAAGGCAGAAGATGCACAAGGACATAAAAGTTAAGGTCATACAGAAACAGTAAAAATTACTGTAAGGACAGAGAAAGAGGAGATTTTACTGTTATTCCTATCAAGAGAAAGGGAGAAAACATGCACAAGAATAATTTTATGAGGTAGAACCAGTTTGTTTTGCCCTATAACCTGTCTACAGCTATGTCACAAGCATGTGTCTAGCAAAAAACATTAAAAGATAGGCAAAGATAATTTCCCCCAATACACTTCTAGTTTATGAACCCTTTGAGCTTGAGATGTCTCTGTCTCTCTCCCCTGAATTTGGTCAATGCCTCCTTGAAGCCATAATACCAAGATCCTGCTCTTGAGAGCTAAATATCAGCTATAATGTAATGATTTATTAATATTAATTAATAATTAATAAATAATAGCAATTTGGAATAGGATTTGTGTTTCCCCTGTGTGTCACTTAAGTTGCCTACATTAAATCTCCCCTGTCATTTTAGTGATAAATTGCTAATACTATAATGCTTTCCCATAGTTCTTTGCAGAATGTCTTTGGTTTTCTGTTGTCCTTTATTACCCTTTATTGCCCTTATCATCTGCTTTCATTTCTTCTGTGGTTTTGGCATAGCTAATAAATGAGTTGAGGCATTCTGGTTCCTTGTGGAATTCTGCTGCTAATGTCAGTTCTTGCAGTGGATGGAGATTTTATTCCTGCTTTTGTCTTTGGGCCACCTGCTGATCATCCATTGAAGAACTGTCCTTCTGACAGCTTAACTGCCTTAAAAGCTTTAGGTGAAGGAATTTTTGAAAGTGTTTTGCTAAATGTGAGTGTATCTGGCAGGTTACCTTTGTTGATGTGTTTGTGAATTGAAGAACTGCAACGTTCTTAGAAGAATTTTCCTTTAAATGTCCTATTGACTTTTCCCCAAACATCCTGTATTTATGCAGGTGCCTGCTAGCTCTCTTCTTTGTTATAACTTCTATTAATTTATCAGCTGACGTCAGTTTTACGCTCTGTGAATGTATGGTTCCATGGGTTCCCCTGGGATCATTTTGTAAACTGGTGTCAGATTTTCCACTTTCCAATAATCACATGTTGAAGTGGATTTAGCTGAGAGGGTTGTCTGCTAGTATGTAACAGTTTATCCATTTCAGCCTTGAGTTCCTGTTAGGCCCCTTGGATAAACAACTTCTAGTGACTTCATACTGTGTGTTTTGTCCACTTTTCCAAGTAAGTTTGGGGTCATAAAGTTTACTCACAATCATCCTCTTTGTAGAGTTTTCTGAATGTGCTCCATTTCCTCCACAAGGATTCCAAGAATTAATTTGACTTCTCTGCAATGGCTGTATCTTTTTAGAGTTCTTTAAATTCCCTCCTCATCTCCAGGCCACCCAGAGTTCCTGAAAGCCTTTCCATTTCTGAAAAGCAACTGGTACCTGCTCTGCCTGCTGCCCAGCAACAGGGCACAGTGCCATGGGGCAGCATGTGCCTGGCTGTGCAGTGCACCAGCACTGCACCATGTCCTCCCCAGCTGACAGAAAATCAGTGGGTGTGGAAGGAGCTAGCTGTAGGGTGGGACAGCCCAGAGAGAGGTAACACAGTGAGGGGTGTTGAAGAGTTGAACAGGGAACATGGAAAAAGAGCTGGGAACCATGAGGGAGTGGGTTCAGTGACGTCAGGAGAATCTGAAGTGTTTTGAGAAAATGAAGGTATCGGGGAACTGCTGGATTTTACTGGATTTGTTAGAGGGGATATGCTAATGAGCCATGGCTAGGGTGAGAGTGGAATGAAAGGAGATGTACACAGTGAGTGTAAACCACAAGCCATTAAAACTAACAAAGCCTGGGTTTTTCTCCTCATCTTCATAAAGCAGCTTGTCTTAATAAGATACTCTCTTCTTCTGCAGAAGAGATTTTGCTTCCTGCTGTCACCACCTTGTTCACTTTCATTCTTGTTTTTCTAGTTTTACTCAAATACAATTCTTTGATTGCTTATTCATTATTCATAGAAATGGTACTTGGCATTATTCACCTTCAAAGCTCTTCACAAGCCTGCTGTGTCTGAGCCAAGATCAATGGTTAAGACAGAATTATAAAAAAATGCTTTGCTGATGTGGTTTGGATTCATTAGCTCATTTTTGGTAGCATTTTTGGCTAATATCCTAGCTGGTTGCAGATGGAGCCATCTTGAAAATGCATATTGGCGTAGCAGCAGATATCTAAATTATAAACATGTAACATATACTAAATGCTTTCAGCTCCCTTTCGATTAAGTTTGAGGATTGGATACCACATGTCATGCAGAGCTTAGCTATGTGAAAATATATCATTAGTGGGCATCATTGTAGTACTGGGTAATTCTCCTGGATATTTACAGGCCCTGACTGGACTCTCCACACACAACCCACTGCCCAGGACACCCTTGTAGACTCCTGGGACTGCTGGCTCCTGCCCCAGTGAGGATCTGAGGTAACAGACATGGACCCTGATGAGTCAGGACCACCTGCAGTCCCAACTCCCAGGCTGGTTTCAGGTGGAGTTGCCCAAATCCCAGGGTTGGAGCTGTTACATGGCTTTTGCTGCTCCCTGGCTCGCTGTGTTGTCCTGGGAGAGCTTCCCACTACTGGCCCACAGAGAGCAGCCAGCCTTTGGGGAACCTCAACACTTTTCTTTCTTTTCCCCTTTCCGTTATAAACTTTTTTTCTGAGCAATTAACTTCTCCCTAAGCACTTATTGTTCAATGTTAACAAAGTTGTATTTTTTCACTGGAGTCTTCTTACTTGCGGAGACTTTGGCAATGAAACCATTACAGAAGTGATAGTGGTGGTAGCTTTCTTTTGTAAAGTATTTGGTTTTCACCCTTCTCTCCTACATGTTTCCTAAATGATGCTACAGGTCAGAGTGTGTCAAAATAAACATTAACCGTATTTCAGAAACCATAAACAGCAGAAAGTAGATATTTATCAAATAAAATGATGCAGTGTTATTTCAAAAATACTAAGAATGGTTAAAGAGAGAAAGTCTGATTTTGACTGTAGTTTTAAGCCATGCAAACACTATATAACTGTAACACCACTTTACTGATTTTATCCTTGTGGGCAATATCTGTTTTCAGTGGTTAACAGCTGGACAGGGCCTTGTTGTCAGCCTCTATTTCTCACCACATTCTCCCTGTCAGCGCTGAGATTTGTATCTGATTCCAATGGAAGGTAGTAAGCATGTGAAACGGCCCTGGAAGTCACAGTAACAATGTTTGTGTCCAAAATAATGCTTCAGTTGCATCTCAATGGGCCAAAGCTGTGCAACCTTCTGGGCTAAAATTGAGCAGTGGCCTTGTCCGAAACCTCTGGGGCACAGTGTGGTTATCAGTAACCACGTGCTTCGAGCAGCGGCGGTTGGAGTGCTGCAACGGGATGTTTTGTTGCTGCTCGTCAGTCTGGAAAAGCAGCTCCAAAAAAACACCACAAAATAATTCAGGGTGACTATCTCTGAGTCCTGAAAGGTGCCCAAGGAGCAAGGAGTAAGAACTTGCCTAGGATGTATGTTGTTTGGACGTGTGACTGCAGAACTTCACTGCTCACTTGGGACTGTATAGTAAATTGATGTTTTCTTTGATAGCTTGCTGGTATTTGAGTTGCAACAAAGCACTAGGAAATTGTTCCCACTGAATCACTTCTCCACAGTTGGTGATATGAACTTTGTGGATCACTGCATGCCTGCAATGTATTTGTCTGGGAAGCACAGTCCTCTTCCCATGCATAGTTTTCTATCCATCTCATCAAACTGACTGGAAAGTCATTCAAGGACCCTTTTTAAAGTGTTCCTACATAGTGCCAGCATTTTCTGTCTTTCTGAGCCAAGTCCCATTCATAGCTTCTCTTCCAGTGCATGTTTCATACACAAAAATAAACATTACATGGTATATAATAAGCTATCTGGGACACTTTTCCAGAATTCTTTTGTTTGCCTGTGATGCATACTGGAATTGTCTTTGCAGATGAGGTCTGGAGGTCTAATGACTCAGAGGCATAGCTCTTTACTTGCTGATGATATCAGATACAGTTGGCCTGGTAACAGCAGATGCTGCAACTACATCAGCAATTCGTCTGTCTAGGAACTGATGAAAACAATGCAGTGTTCATAAAAATGAAATCCCTGGCCTTCTAAACTTGTACACCACAGCAGCCTGTATGCAAGTGAGCCCTGAGAGCCCACAGTGCCAGGGTCATGGGCAATATCAATATTCCCAGAAAGGATGCATTGCTGGTGTCTCAACTGGTGATAAAACTGGACAGAGCAGTTGGGCATTATCTGGCTGCCCTTTGGGGAGTTTTTAGAAGTCAAGAAAGATGGTTATATGCATTTGCTCACTTCTCTTGAAACATTACAATATATAGATTATGCAGATAAAGAAACTGCATTCTTGTATGAATGTCAGGCTGAAGCAAGAGAAGAACAGAACCGAATGAATTTGTAACAGTGATGAAGATTGTAGATTTTTCATTCTGAAATCCATGAGGGAATGGAATTTAGTTGTCGTGGCTGACATGAGATAAAAGCATTCCAGAGTCTGAAGAGAGCAGAAATAGGGTTTTGGAACAGAAACTGGCTGACAGCATCTAAAAATGTCCTGTTATCAGGTTATGTAATAATATATTTATTATTTATTATAAACATGCAGCTTTATCCTTGTCTACCTACACGTGTGCAGTTACTGAAGTAATGAGGACTGTTCACAGATTTCCAAATATGGGAGTTGGGCTCCTATTAAAATCTTTCTCTGACACTGTGCAGCTTTGGGAGGATTCTTTTGTCTGATGCTCCTTTTTGGTTGTACATAAATGGAGTGATACTGAGAAAAATGACTGTTCCTGCACTCTGTGGATGCATAAGCCTTACAACAAAGAGTCCCCGCAGATTTTACTCTCTATAGAAGGAATAAATAATGCTAGTTCTGTAGGAGGGATATTGGAATATTTATCAGGGTGGTGTGTGTGTGTCAAGGAAGGGCTTTCTATCCTAATTGCCTTCCAGTAATCTGACTTTCAAATGCTCTTCCTTTGGATTTTTATCTACACGTTTCCTTCTCCCTTATGCTGACTGAAAGGTCCCTTGTTTCCAGGGTGAGCTAATACTGCACCTAAATCAGTCAGTTGATACAGAGGAATAAGGCTGCTGAGAAAGAGTGGTAGCATTTTTTATTCTTTTTAGGCTAAGGGAGGAGGAATTACAGGGGGAGGAATTAGGTGTCTGAAAGAAAAACTTGGGAAAATAAGACTGCTGAAAAAAAACCTTGCTGAAAGCTAAAACACTATTGTTGGGATTATGCCCAGAAAGGCAAATGAGAATGCAGAAGACAAATAGTGAGCTGCATATCTGGAGTGAAAGAGTGGGAGAAGGGTTTGGCACAGGATCAGGGAGATGTTGACTTGGCCAAGAGGAGGTATGTAGAAATGGCTGTAACCTGGGCAGTGCCACTGAACAAGCAGGGCAAAGACAGAGTTAGTCTGAACCAGAGGTATTAGAAAAAATTGTGTGAAGAAAAGTAAGTAGCTGAGCTGGGAAGAAAGTCTTTCATATTAGAGAAATACAGGTAATAATTTGGAGTGACTGCAGCTAGGTAGTTGTGGGTAATTTGGCAGTAAATGCATAGATATGATTGTCTACTATTTCTGACTGTTGCTCTGCCAGTAGCAGGGAATTATTTCCTTAAAAGAGAGTGAAGTAAAGAAACCAGACTGTAACTTGGACATAACAGTAAGACAGAGAGTGTCTGTGGAAAACTATAAAACCTGTCTGACAAGGGAGGATTACCCCATGCATCTTGCCTGAGTTGGACTCACTGGATGATTTATTAGACTAGCTCCTATTTCTAGAAGACGTTTGGGTGTTTGTGTGTGGAGGCAAGTTAGATCACATCACAATAATTTTTTACCTTTTTTTCCTCTGCCTGCCCACTCTTCACTACAGCAAATGTCTCAGTGCCCAAATGGCCTGCACTTCCTTCTCAGTGGTACAAATGTATACATAAACTGCCCTACAGTTTGCAGCTGCCCAGCACACCCTGTTTTTACAGTGTCACTCACCAGATAACCCTTCACTTACCTTTTTTTTCCAAGCAGAATTAATCCCACTGCATCTTGCAAATAATACTTTTTTCCTTAAGATACTGCCATTTTTCTCACTAACCACACGTCATGCTGTATGTGGATCCCATCAGTTGCAGAAGGCATTTTTTTCTGAAAATATGATATTTCATATGTTTCCAAGACAATGTATTTCAGTTGTTTCTATCACACTTGTAAATTTTTGTCTATATTATCATGGTTATTTCTCTTAATGTCAGTATCCAACTTTCTAAATACAAAATTAATAAGGGTTTTGCTAATGATGGCCTAGACCTTGACATTGTCATTGGACACAGTTGGGTGAGAGGAATGAAGCTTTACTTCTCTTAAGTACTGGACTTAGAGCCAAGGATTTGGGTTTAAGTGGCTCTATTGATCTGGTGTAGAGTGACAGTGCTCAAAGTCCCTGAAGTAATGATTTGCCTTTGCTGCCTTGCTGAGAGGAAGATTTTATCTTCTATTAGATCATTATTCAAAAGTGCTGAAATTCTATGAATAGACAAACAGTAGCAGTTAAGAGAGATTATGAAGCTGGATGTGCTGTATGGCTTCAGCCAGCTAATACTCCTAGATACTAGAGACCTGATCTTTCTGATGTAGTTCTGTGTGCCACTTTTCATGTTAGGAATACAGCACAGCAAGAGAGCCTTTTTTTGCAAGGGATTATATAGGATCCCTGCTTCATTTTCTTTTTTTTTTTTCCCTGTGTTGCCATGTCTTTTTCCTATGTCTGTGAGGTTTTTTATTTCCAGGGCCGCCGGATGAAAAGGCAGGTTGGTGTCTGGGGGAGCTGGGGTGAATGGAGCAAATGCAGTCGGAGCTGTGGCGGTGGAGTCAGCTTTCGGCAGCGGCGCTGCTATTCCCAAAGGTGAGGGCTAACCTCTTTTTTTTTCTTTCTTTCTTTTCTTTAAATGTGTTGTACCGTTACTGAGCTCCTGCAGTTATGTTCCAATATACATCCAGAAAAAAAGACTTAGTGTTTGATCCCAGGGGAATGAGTCCACTTTGAGATGAACCTCAGTTTCAGTCTTGTCACTGCTGTTTTGCTTAGTGCCCTCTCCAGAACATGCTTGCTTTGGCTCCTTTGATAGAGCACAGCAGTTGCTCTGTGAGATCTGAGGCTGTGCAATCAGGGGATTGGCATGGTAGCAGCTGCTTAATCAGGTCTAGTGTGGCAAGCCCTGAGGGAGACGGAGAATGGGCCAGAGCAGTTGGTTTCTCTCCTGAGAGCTGGTGACAGTGCTGAGGTTTCCTCAGGTTTATGATTCTCAGGATGGCAAATTGCCCCAGAAGAAATGGAAGAGTAAATTTGGCTCAAGCAGTGCCACCTCATTTGCAGCTGGGTTAGCTGCATCCTAATGAGGATGATGACTGGTACTGCACCTGTTGGGAATGATGGACCTTAGAGATCCTGTTGTGGATGAAAACAAAGCAAAGGAGGAAAAAAAAGCCAGACTCTCAATAATATCCTGAAAAAAACAGCTTCTCTCTGTTTAGAGAAATGAGAGGAGGTTTTGTAATGGAAGAAGCCAGAGTTATGAAGCTGCTGCTTCCCACAGAGAATAAAGAAAGGTCTCTTTTGAAGGCTGCCTGTTATGGTTTATACCTGACAGAATCCCGGGAAGCCTGTCTCCCTATTTTAGGAACACTGAGGTGTTAGGCATTGAATGGCTTTTTAGATCAATTTCCTCCATGATTGTTACTCTCCATAACTCTCAGCTGGGGTAATTTGACTGGACTAAGGGTATTGCACACTTTCCGTAGGCATGTTTCGCTCTTCTTAATAAGGGACCTATTGTGCACAAAAAAATCAAGATAAATGATGCACAAAGATATTCTGAATTGGCCACTATCCTCATGCTGCTCATAACATGTTTCTCTTTCTTGTATGGACAACTCAACCCTTTGCTGGTGGACCATGGACTAAAATCTCAGCTTCCATTATTTAGTTGAAATGTGACCTTGAAGAGCTGTACTGCAGTTGTTCACGGTGTGCGTCTCATTCATGCCAGAATACAAACCACAACATAAAATGCCACTAGAAAATGCCAGCTTGCTTTAGTGGTGAAGAAGTGTATTTTAGTTATTTTGCTGTTTCAGAGAACTCTGTGAGGGTGATATGCTTGATGTGAAGGTGATTTGTAATGTCTGCCATGAGATGACTTTTTGCACAGGTATTCTTCAGAGAGCTCCATGTATTTTTTCTGTCTTCCAGGACAGAAGGTCCTTCCAGCTGTGTTGGACCAACACGAAGCTATAGGTCATGTAATGTTCAGGTATAGTGCTCTGGTTTTAGTTTTTCTTGCCTGCTGCTCCTTTTCCCCAGACAGAAATCATTCTTGTTCAGAAATAAGATGTGGTCATTAGCTCCTGTTTCTCTGATGTCACTAGTGGATGCAGTTCATTAACAGTATCCATTCAAAAATATATTGAAATTATGCCCCAGTTTGAAGGGGCATTTTTATTGTACACTTTATTTTCCTCCTTTTTTACAATGCTCCAATACAAACACTTTCTCTTCCATACAGAACTGCCCGGAAGGCTCCCGGGATTTCCGGGCAGAGCAGTGTGCAGAGTTTGATGGGACAGAATTCCAAGGCAAGAAATATAAGTGGCTTCCATATTATGGAGGTAATGATAAACATGTGGGGTTATACTTCATCACTACCTATCAACAATGTGTTTTGAAGTGACTGTAATGTTTTTTACTGTAGTATCCTTGCACGGTACTTTCTTAGCTGGAGTGGGGGCAGGAGTTGGCATGGAAAAAAATCCTTTTGCCAGCAGGAAAGCATTGCTGTCCTGAAGACACTGGATGCATGGGCCAAGAGACAGCATTGCAGCAATACGTACTTGTCTCTTGTAGCAGCCATTCCTTCAGAAACATTGCCCAAGGCAATCTGGAACTGATTGCAGTGAGGTTTCAAAGCATTAGAGGACCAGAAGTTCTGCTGTATTTTCCAATATTGTCAAAAGAATATTAGCAGGGCACAAGAGAAGCAAATGTATGTAATTAATGAGTGCTTCAGAAAATACATCTCTTTCATCAGTCCACGCTTTCTTGAGGAACCAGCTCAGAAGGCAGGTGTGGGAACCAGTGGTCTTTGCTCTGAGCTTTGATATTATATCATTCACAGTTGGTAAACAAATTATGAGGGATTTTAAGCTAAATTTTAAAAGGTTTTTTGTTGCTTGTTACAATAACATTTCTGTACCAGCACTTGTTCTCATTCTAGAAAGCCCTGTACTCCAAGGGAGTATGAGAGAAATCCTACTAAGGAATAACCAAATATCCACTTAGACCAATGTCCCCTGAGGAAATATTTCTGTACAGTGAGATTTTACTAGAGTATTTTTCCAGCCTCCAGCAGTTTGTGACCCAGAAATTCATTCACTATCTGCCACTTAATATCAGTAAACCCCTCTGTTTCTGCTCCTGTGATCTAGAACTAGGCTCCTGGTGCTGTATCAAGCTATTATATAATGTTTCTTTTTTCTCTCCTGCCAGCACCTAATAAGTGTGAGTTAAACTGTATTCCCAAGGGAGAAAACTTCTACTACAGGCACAAGGAAGCAGTGGTAGATGGGACTACCTGTGAACCTGGCAAGCGAGATATCTGTGTAGAGGGAGTTTGTCAGGTTAGTTTTCTCAGTACTTCCTTCATTCATCATTGGGTCTTGTCAGTCTTTCTGCTGTCTCCCTTTGTTCTACTTGACCTTTCATCATAGCATCAGAAAAGGTGAATCACTGCATTTCAAGGTGCTGAGGAGCATCTGGATAGCATTTCTCTGGCTCTGGCTGTGAAATAGTAGATAACAGCTTTGTTGTTTTCTCTGCCCTATCCTGACTTTCTGGGCTCCCTAGATTCAGGCTTTCTCAATAGATCTGTCCAGCATTTTGCCCCTTTTTTTCCCCCTCTGTCATCACAGTTTATTCCTATTAATGTTCCTATGCTCTGACAGGCTGTTGGCTGTGATAATATGCTGGACTCTGCCAAGAAGGAGGACAAGTGCCTGCAGTGTGGAGGAGACGGCAGTACCTGCTATGGTGTGAAGGGCACTTTTGATGTGGCCAGTCTCCCCAAAGGTACAGATGATCCTAGGTAGTTTGGGCAGGTGAGAAGGAGAGAGTTAAACTAAAAATCAACTGCTACAAGGGCTGGTGGGGACACCTGCTCACATGATTGTTATAGGCATGCTTGGATGTTCACTTGAAATATTTGTACAGTGTGTGGTCTTAGGACTAGAAAAGGTACTCTTGGCATTATCCTGGGAATCGCTTTGTTACTGTGTCCACACTGAAGTACTTGCCATGATGTTTATGTCTTTCCCCACTCCCTCTTCAGCTGCTATTGTAGTGCTATAAATGCACCATAATAACATCACCACACACAGCTTTGTGAGGCTGTCCAGTGTTTTGATAGCCCCACCAGGACACGTGCAGGGCTAGAAATGGGACTGCATCTTCTGCATTTGGCCAATTTTGAAAAATTTCAATATGTCAGCCACACTTGTGGTCGCATCTCTCTATGTTGAACTCCAATATGATTCTTGCTGAAATTCCAAAAATTCCAAAATGTAGCAAATGGACTTTTCTGAGGTGCCATTGGATTTTTTTTTACATGTGGACTGATCTGTGGACAATGTAGGGTGAGGTTATTCAGCATGCAATTAAAGTGATGACAGAAATGCTTCATGTCACCATCAAAAAACTCATCTAGTTGTTCAGGCACAAATGAAGCCATGAGCATCTTTGGCAGAGAGGAGTGGCTGTGTGGCACCCACAGTCAGATATTGAATAATCCCCTTTTTTTTTTCAGGTTACAATCAAATCTTTATTATCCCTGTGGGAGCCACAAGCATCCAAATTAAGGAGGTTAAGCCCACCAGGAACTTCCTAGGTATGATTGATGTCAGAATCTGTGTATCAGTCTATTTGGATTCCAGCCACTATGCTAAAATCTGGTTTTCAATCATGGGTTTACCTTGAGGGCTTGATATGGCAGAGTGAAAAACTGAATATCAGGATATTGAGTATCCTTGAAATGTGAGTGATGCACAACTCTGGGCTTCACATTTACTTCATTTTCTCTCCTGTGGAGATCTTGCTGTTGGGTGCAGAATAAAAATACCCAAACCACATTGAGACTTCCTGCCTGTAACTTGCAAGGAATCTAGCTGATCTAGCCAAATTTGGCTGTAAGTTCTGTTTGGTGAATGCAAGTCCTACCTGCTCCTGCCATCTAGAAGTTGGGGGTGGCCTTATTTTCTCCATAGATTTCTTTAAAGCATTTGTACAGCCTCAAACTCTGGTCATTCTGCAGAGGGGGAAAAGGAGGGAGAAAAGGCCTTGCCTAGATTTCTGGGCAGGGCTGAGGAAATTCCAGTGGAGAAAGCAAATACTCTACTGCTTTCTTAATGTTCCATCACTGAGTGCTTAGGACAAATCAGTCTGGTGATGTTTTCCTTTGTAGAAAACTCGATTCTGCACACATCTTGCTTTCTGAATAGAGTATCTGATGAACCAGATAGTGGTGTAAAGTCAATGGAGTGTGAATCCCACATCCTAATGGACAGAGGCTGGCTTCAGCTGTGCTCCAGCAACTAACAGTGGGGAATGCAGAGGCAGGGCAGGAATATGCTGGAGGCATTTGGCTGTGCAGCAAAAAAGTGCTTGATCTGCAGCAAAGCTGGCAAAAAAACACTGTTTGAATGTGGTTTAGCACCTTTTGCCAAAAAAGCCATACAGGAAGGACAGCATTGATGGAGGATGGTGGTCACTCATTTGCTTGTGACACAGTATTGAGTGGAAACAGGAGCAATCTTGTGGAGTTCTTATGATCCTTTCTCTGGCTTGTGGATTTGTCCAGCTGTCAAGAACGTGCGAGGAGAGTATTACCTGAACGGGCACTGGACGATCGACTTCAGCCGGGCGCTGCAGGTGGCCAGCACAGTGCTGCACTATGACCGTGGCTCGGAGGGTGATGTGGCCCCAGAGCTCCTCCAGGCCCGGGGTCCCACCACAGAACCCCTCGTCATTGAGGTGAGAGGCTGTGCCTTCCCCCACTGACACTCTGCTCTTGCTTTCCACAGTGGGAGTACACTGGGAAAAACTGGAGATGTGATGGGGACCCCAGGAATCTTACAAGGCTGAGGGCCTTCCACCTAGACCACAGAAATAGTACTTATTGCTGCTCTGGTTCTATTGCCCAGAAATAAACAGTGCAAAGCTCAGTGATGGTTTCCTGCCTATTCCTTTGGGCTCTGACTTTAGGGGAGGCAAGAGTCAGCAGCAAATGATGTTGGGGCAGGGATACGCTCCAGGACACTGCTTGTTATGCTGTGCTGTAGGGCAGGAAATGTAGCTGCTGTGACAGGAGCAGCTGGATCTTCTACAGCCAAGAGGGATGAATGCACCCTTCTCTGAAAAATAACACTCTCCAGAATATGATGGAAGGCAAGGAGAAAATCCAGTGCAGAGAATTAGTGCTTCTTGAATGGGAAAGGTGCAATCAGCTGCAACTATCAGACATGGTGGGGAAATGCTGTGAAGAGGAAAAGTGTAATTTCCCTGATTTCCTCCCATGCTTTTGCAGCTCATCAGCCAGGAGCCAAACACCGGGGTACAGTATGAGTATTACCTGCCCCTGCAAGGACAGGCCTTGGGTTACAGCTGGAGCTACAGTTCCTGGAGCGAGTGCAGCTCTGAATGTGGAGGAGGTAAGGGGAGAGGACCTGATCCCTGGTGGCTGATGTGGGGTTTATATCTGCACCCTGCAGGCAGTGTGACAGTGTGCTGCCCTCTGCAGCAGCTTCCCAGCAGTCTCCTGCTGGAAGGCAGCACAGGGATCCACAGGGTGTTGCTAAGGTTTTGTCGAGAGAGGGTCATGCAAGGAGTAACAACAGGATTGGCCCATGCCAACACGTGGCCCATGCCTTGTTCTTATTTTCTATTCTCCAGTCCTCAGACATATTACTAGGACCTGTTAAGAATCTTCATAGATAGTCTTTGTTTTGATTTGCTTCAGGTCTTTATAGTCTTTTCTACCACTTGAGAGGTCCTCTCCAGAGAGACCTGGCCAACTTTAGTGAATCACATCATTCTCCTCTGCCACAGCCTAGAAGATTCCCCCTCTCTAAGAGGACTGTCAGCTCTCCTAGGGTGTCCCATCATATTCAATTTACAGATTCCTCCATGAGCAACATTATGGATTTTAAGCTTAAAAGAAAAACAAACCAAAAAACTTCAATCAATCAAACAAAAAAATCCTCACCAGCTGATTAGTATATAGAGCTCTTATCAGCCTCTTCTGGGCTTCCACCCTAATGGCCAATTTGGCAGCTTTTGCCATATTGTGACTGTAGGTGCTACAATTGTCTTTGGCTGGGCACTCATAATCTGTAGGAAGCATGAAGAGTTGCAAGTTTTACTCCCATATCCAGTCCTCACAAGGCTGACCTTTTGAGTCTAACTGGAGACCTCCAGTTCTGCTGTACACTGCACACATCTTGCAGGGCTCCTTCATGAGCACCTTACGGCTGGGGCACTCCCTTTGTGAGTCTTGATCCATAATATAACAGGAAAGTTCCGTTCCCCTCAGCCACACAGAACTGCACTATCTCCCTTGCCCTTCCAGCAAACCCCTATTGTGTTGGAAGGCATCACTTGTCCATGTAGTGAGAGACAAAGAAAAGAAAAGACAAAGTCTCTTTTCCAGAATTGCTGGGACAGGTGTGGATTCTACACGACTTCATAAACTTGCCTTGCCAACCCCAGTGTATTGCTAACCTAGTGCTGGGTAGCTTGTGTTGATCAGACATCTCTTGCTTGTCCCCCAGGTTTCCAGTCCCGCTTGGTGTTTTGTACCATAGACAATGAAATTTATCCAGACTACATGTGCAGGAGTAAGCCACAACCAGACAACAACCGGACGTGTGGCCATCAGCCTTGTCCCCACACAAAACGGTATGATTTCTTTCCTTCTTTTCTGGGGTCTGACTTCTTCCTGAGGTGCCTTCGGAACCGAGAAAAAAGTGACTCTCTTACTTCTGCCCTCCAGCATGGTTCTCTCCAAGGAGGTGCTTCACTTCTAAGAGAAAGCCAAAGACAAAAGATTGAGATGATAACAGTGATGAGTGAGGGCATTTCTATGTGCACAAGAAAAGAGCTTAACACTTCCTGTGTTCATTTTATAGACCAATTAAATTTGCCTTCCAAAACAGTATTGTGGAAAACAGTTGTCTAGCCCATGTAGGAGATATGAAAGAGATTCTCTGTTTTTTCTTCTCTTGAGCTAGAGCCTACAGAGTAGAAAGTCTGAGCTGGTGTCATTTTATGTCATTTCTGCATTCCCAGTGTCTGTTCCCTTAGAAAGGGATGAATCCTGGCGTCTCTTCATTCTCCAGCATTTTCAAACCCCTTCACCCAGCCATTTCAACTTGTTCCTTACAGCTGGCTTCACTTGGCTCTTACTGGGCATCCAGAGCTGTGACATGAGCATTAACTGCATATCTGTGTACCAGTGAAGGCCTCTGAGAGCACTCATGTGCATGAGAGGTCACCCGGGAGCATTTCTGAATACATGTTAGCCTGTAGCTACTTGTTTTAAGTTCTTTAAAACCTTTGTTCTGTGTATAAAGGACTTCTTACATCTACCTGCCGCAAGCCTGGAGTCACAGCGGCGCACGGAGCTCTCAGATGAAGAGGTAACAAGCAGAAGGAAGTTACAGAAAGCACAGGAAGGCAGCTGCTCTCTTCTGCTATCCACCTAGTTGCTAATTGAAATCTGTGGGGACTTTCCTCTTTGGCACTGGTGGTAGAAGTGCCTGTTGCTTTGCTTTTGATGCTTGCCAGTGAAAATGGTGGTGGAGGGTGCTGGCTGGCAGCTTTGCTTAGGTGGCTGCACATGCCTCTGGTAACTTGATTCTTAGGGGACTGAGAAAGGGATGATTTCTTCATAGCTTCTGGCTGCTTATTCTCATGTTTTCTCTGGAATCAGGGTAAAGAAGTTCTGGAAGACTTTTTTTTTTAATTTACTTATCAAGATAAAGAAAAGAACATAAAGGAAAAGAGAGAATGATCTTTTGGGCAATTGTAATATTGGCCAGCACAGCATAGAGAAAGACAGAGTTTCTTAAAAGCTCTTCTTTTTTGGCATGGGCCGTATAGCAGGCAGAAAAGAGCATGTAAGACGTGATGAGTACAAGGATGTGAGGGGTACAATAATGTACACTAAGATATGAGAAGTTAAAAGTATCAAAAGCAAAACAGTTGTCCCCCAGCAAGCTGCTGATAGCTTAGGACTGGCAATTTTTGCCCTCTGATGAGGGTTCCAGTCTTGGGATTGGCCTTGTCTTACAAAGGAAATGAAACAAGGGTCAGAGAAATCTTAATTTGCAATTGAAGGAAGCTGTAAGTGATCCCATCTGGTTAATACAGCCTTTCCAAAACCATACATTTGCTTTACAGGAGGCAGAATACAGTATGGGGGGGGGGGAGTTATTTCCATTGGAGCTTTTGAAAAAACTTGATTAATACTTTGTTATAAAGCCCTGCAACCACACCATTTTAAATGGCTTCCACTGAATGTATTTGTTCCCTTTCCAAAGGAAAGATTTTATAGTGAAGGCCATTCAGTTTTGGGTTGACACGGGCATCTTTAGCAACAAAGAAGGGTGCTCTTAGGAACTGACCATGGTAGAGTGTACTGTGGAATCCTGTTAGGATGTGAATGTGAATTGGCTGGCTGAAACTTGGTTAAGGGGTGGCAAGAGTCATGCTAGGGAAGTAGCTGGAATGCTGGGGGAGAAAACATGAACTGCTTTCATTCCCTGGCTGGGCCTTACCTGGCTGCAGGGGAACATATCAGATGGCAAGCAGATCACCTGGATGCTCCCCCTCCAAAACCAGTGCCTTTGGACTACTACACTGCATGCTGGATTTGGGGATGAAACATCGTATTGTCCATGAAGCCAGGCCATGCAAGGTGTGGTTCAAGCTACCCAGCTAGCTCTGAGAAGCTGGGGTGGCCATGCGCAGAGATTTTAGTATCTAGACAGATTGTTTTGTGGACACATTCCCCTTGTTAGCAAGGGTGTATAATTTCTGCAGCAGCTTCAGCAACCAAAGACAGGAAAAAATTTATTTACATTTTTGTGGGCTTTTTGTATGTGTGCTGCAGTTAGAGAATTTGACTGATGGGAGGAATAAACCAGCTTTCTACTGGCCGTCAGTGAAAAGTTAAGCACTTCTGAGAGTGTCTGGCATGGTTTGCGGGCAGAGTGAGGACTTGGCTTGATTTTATTGTTTCTGATAATGTCTAGAGTGTAATGTGTGGATTAGACTTTAGTGGTAGCTTTTCTTTTAGCTGATCTAGATTGGTTTTTTTTGAGATTTTTCTTTCCTTTTTTTTGATGTTCTATTCCAGGCATGACATTTTTGCAGACATCAGGAGACCAAAAGCCATGAAGAGAGATCTTCCCCTTCTGGGGAGCTCTGCATTTCCAGAGAAAAAAGTGTTTTGTAGCTGGAGAGATGTCTCTGGAGTAGGACTAATGCTCTGCATTGCCAATTAAGCTGGGCACGCTTGGTCAAGTGGGAACTCGCCTCTGATTCTATTCTGCAAAGGGACATCGTCCCTGTTTGATTTCTACAGAGATGTGGCACTGACTCCTCTCTTCCTCCGGGCAGTTTGGCTGGGCTTACTTTTTTTTTTTTTGTACTTGATTCTGTGACCTGCAGGTGGAAAACGGGAGAGTGGGGGTCCTGCTCAGCCACGTGCGGCGGGGGCACCCAGAGCCGCTCGGTGTACTGCGTGGCGTTTGACGGCCAGAGCGCGCAGGGCGTGGTGGACGACGCCGAGTGCATGGCCTTCGGCCAGCAGCCGCGCCGCAGCCAGCCCTGCAACGTCCGGCAGTGTGCCACCTGGAGCACGGGGCCCTGGTCTGAGGTCAGTGCCCCTGGGCAGCTAACGGCCTCCTGGAGCAGGATCTGCCAAAGCTTAGGGAGGAAGAGCCAGGCTCCTCTTCTGGGACTACAAGAAGCATGTGTCCCTGGATAGGTGGCGTGCAGAGGTGTACAACTTCTCCCTGCAGTCCTCCAATGCCCTCCTATGAACTCAAAACTCCTCCTGTTCCTCAAAAGTGTGCATGTCCCTGCACCTCTGCTCTTCTCATTGCATGTTCTCTCTGCTCTGTTCTGCCAATCCTTTCTCCACATCTGTGTTTTTATCAGGCCCCCCCCCCACCACATGGCACTGGCTTGGTTTCTGAGCCAGGCCTGGTGAAAGCGGAGCACCAGCAGGAGAGCTTCTGTCCATCAGCTGAGGATGGGCAACAGGACACCCTCCTCTGTGAAACAGGAGCTCATGACTTCTGCCTGTGCTAGTTATTTCCGTGTATTTTGCTGCCAGGACAGCAAAACTCTTGAAATACTGGTGACCTGCTGTTTGCTGTGTGTCTGCACAGGGCTTCTCCAAACACAGCCATGTGGTGCATTTTTTATGCTTGTGTGCATTTATATCTGCAGGAGTGCAAACAGCTTAAACTGTGCACACTCAATTCAGCCAGACAGCTTTTAGAAGGCATCTTACATTCCAAGGGCTTAGAAAGTAAAGAGCATGTCTACTCAGTCCCTAAAGTACAAGTGAATTTTCCTCTATTAGAAGAAGTACGTGCATGCTTGCAACACTTGATTTGCAATCTTGTGGTTGCGCTTAGCCTGTCTGAGTTGTGCAACAGCACAAAATGCAACTTTGAGGCATGATCACTGAGACTGGAAAGTCCTTCCACCCCCTACCATGTGAGGTGTGAGCTTTGGGGTTGTGGAGCCTTCCCCCTACCTTGTGAGATGTGAGGTGTGAGCTTTGGGGTTGTGGAGTAAGAGTGCTGTCTGGGGAAGGCACCAAGGGTCATGTTCTTACAAAATGATGCCTGAGTAATTAATTCCAGTGTTCTCAGAAGCAACTGTGTACTCTGAGTTAAAAGGTTACTCTGGTAAATGAATGGCTGAAGCTCGGCTGGGAAGCTCATCTGAAGTGATTCAGACTGTCCCCAAGTTAATGCTCTCCGCAAGACACTTTGGTAATTCATGTAGAAGTAGGTTGGATTCCAGGAAACACCACTGTGAATTTAAGAGGGCGTTGGAAATGTCACAAACTAGTTACTGGTATAGCAGTTGTCACAGCTCCACGCTGTAAAAATAGAGCACAAGGTCTTCAAACAAAAGACATGAGCAATATAAGAACCTAACCTTTTACTTTCCCTAAAATTCTTCACCTAAATAGGTTTTAATTAGATGTAAATAACATGAGTTTACAGATATTTTCTACCATGTTTTGGTCTCAATGTATTTTGCAGTGTCTGGCATTTTTCTGATATTTTTCTAAATTCATCCTCCACATCTCCTTCGGGGAGACATCAAGAGTAAGTATATGAATAGGCCAAAATAATTCAGTGAGCTCCAGATCTTCAAGACCCTATCCCATGCTCTCATGCCTTATTGTCTCCTCTACAGCATAAACAGCTACTCTGCCAACTCCCACCCCAGAAAATTATTTTAATGATAGCTGGTTGTTTCAGGCAGTCTCAAAATGGTGCTCTGCTCTAATGATAGGGAGCCCAGCCTGGAACTGCAAGAGGAAACCAGGTGCTTCTTTGTAATTGCTGGGCCCCTTTCTGCAGTGCTCGGCCAGCTGTGGGGAAGGAGTGCAGACCCGGACTGTCACCTGCAGGACACAGCAGGGCTCCCAGGCTCAGGACTTCGCTTGTCTAATGGAGCCAAAGCCATCGGCCACCCAGCCCTGCCTTAAGGAGAACTGCATCCAGGAAATCGGCTGGCACGTTGGAGACTGGGGTCTGGTGAGCACCTCGCTGTCATGGCTCCAAAATTACTGATTGTATTGCTGTGCTCCTCACAAACAAGCTTTGATCTGTGCAGTCTGCACATTGGCTGAAGCTGGGAGCAAGGACTGCTTCATTACCAGTCCCTTGGCTCACAGTTGTGTTGTAACTGGCACTAGTAATGCTCCAGTTAATCTGATGCCCGCTTTGTGTGCAGCTGCTACAAAAATAAATCCTTCTGAAGGGAGATTATAGTTTCAGTGACAGTGGCAAAATGCAGCCAATAAGCTGAAACAATCCACTCTTGCTCCTTATTCTCAATTCTTTGCTCCATCGCTGTGATCAGCAGAACAGCTCTCAGCCCAAGATTGGCTCAGAGCTGTAGGCTTCAGAACTGGTCATTGCACTTGGTGATATGCTTTAAAGTACATTTTTGTAATTATTCAGATAAACTGTGCTTCAGATGGATTAATCCTGTCTTTGTGGTGGAAGCCAGACTGTCTTCAACCTGGGAAAAGTATCAGGGGGTAGAGATATGGGTAGATCACATGTATCAGTGACTTCCAAACACACTTTTTCTCTTCTCTGCTAGCCAGACCAGCTTGTTCTGGGCTAAAACATGTTACATATGCTTCTTCCTGAGATGTGGGTCAAGTTTTAGTTACAGCTGAAGAAGTTTCATATCTGAATCTGATCTTTCTCCTGATTTTCTGTTATCAGAAGGTCTCCTATCTGCCTCTCTAATTGTAGGGAAATACTCTCCAAATGTTTATAGATCTTGCTATGAGCCATGTGAGTTGCACAGACACCTCATGCTATCCCCTCCTCTGAGCCACTGGTCCCTCTCATCCACAGCTTCCAGTAAGGCAAACTCTATTTAGCTGCTTACAAGAAAGCCACTCATTTGCTTTCCAGTTGTAATTTGTTGCTCTTGAATGCAACCTGACCCACCCACAGCTGGTGGATCCCCAGAGAATTGAGGTGCCTTTATGCCTTCAGGCTGAATTAGTCTCTCCAGCTCCCTGACACACCACTGTGGGTAACAGCAGCTCATCTGGATGTTACAGGCTGAGTGTGGCACAGAGCCTAATGCTTCAGGGCTGGGTGGAACATCTGGTACAATTGTTTAAAGTATGGTTTTCTAATTGTTCAGATGATTTCCAGCTGAAATATTATTTGCTTTGTCTTGGTGGAGGAAGCTGTGCTCAGCCTGTAGCTAATCATGCAGCTGTTCCCCACTTCTGATCTGTGGGGTTTCTGCATTCAGCCTTTGCTGCCTGCTCAGTGCCTTGTCTCTGTGCCCAAGTGCTCCAAGAGCTGCGATTCAGGCATCCGGACACGACAGGTCATCTGTGCTGACGGCGACTCCAAAGTCTACAGTCCTGAGACATGCAAAGCCACCCAGCCACAGAAACCAGCCACCCTGGGTAGCTGCAACACACAGCCCTGCTACCTGCCACAGCGTGAGTGGTATTACTGCACACTCAGCTTTTCCCAACATGCTTTTGCTTAGGAGTAGAAATTTCCAGCTCTGCACCAGCTTATGTTCTCAGCTTTTTGCCTGCCTGTCTCCATCCTGTGAGTTTGCCAAGGTTACGTGCACAAAGCATCTTCAGAGTCCCAGTACCTGTGCTGTTTGAAGTGTATGCAACAGGCTTGGGAACAACATTGTTTTGTGTCCATTTTGAATCCAGTATTCTGTGTGCTATATCCAGTGTGTGTGAGCTGCAGACTGACCCCAGGCATCCCAGTCCAGAAAGATGGTAACTTGGGCAGGCTCAGTAGCAACAACCTGTAGCCAACTCTCATCCCTCTGTGGACTGGCTCTAAAGGAGTCACAACTTTTCAGAACGTTTTGCTTCTTGTCTGTGTCTATTCTCCATGTCAGAGCTGCAATGCTGACTTTTTCTACCTGCCCATTTTAGGTCACTTGTCCTGACAATCCAATTGACTCCAATTGCTGCTCAGCAGCTATTGCACAAGAGGAACAAGAACATTTTCATCAACTTTTATCTCCTGCTGACTGCTGGATGTATTTGCAATTCTTAGAGCACAGTGCTAGACTAACTGCACCCATTTTGTGTACATGTCTCTTTGCAGAGGTTCCCAGCATGCAGGACACTATGGGATACAATGTCACTCGCCAGTCCTTGCTGACCCGTTACAACCCAAACAGCCCTGCCCCAGGTTTGGAAGAATTTTTTTAATTTGGGGTTTGATGATGGGATACTTGGAATAGGCTGTGTTAGGGAGAGGGATCATTCTATTCTTTGTTTCTCTCATTTTTTTTCATGGGTTCCTAGAAACTGAAGGAGCCAGGGACAAAATGTAGATTCTTTTACACCAACAGTGAGCAGTATTTGAATCTATCCATGTAGAAGATTCTGTACAGGATATGGATCCCAGGTTCTATCAGCATGACCTAAGTGCTGGCTGGAAGAAATGATGCCCAAAGCAGATCATAGGAACAAGGATGATGTGAAGGGAGCACAGCAATGTGGTTTCTCATGGGACAGCAGGAAGAATGGTCAAGGCAATGAGCAAAGTACCTCAGCCAGATGAGGAAGGATGGGCCAGAAGACACCCCTAGATGTGATGCAGAAAATCCTGCCAGGTAGCCTTGGGCAGGTGAAAGAGAGCAGAGAGGAGGAAAGCTGGCCAGATTTTCATGCTCACCTGCATACCTTGAGTTGTCTCCCTAGATTCTGATGATGGAAGAATGCTCCCTGGGAACACCATGATCCATAGTGCCTCAGGGAATCAGCACATTCCATCCACCAAAGATCACGGCATCAACTTGTTTGCTGTCCATTGGGAGCCACAGTCCCGCTCCCCAGGATCCCATCGGCTCAGCTTCTCTCAGGACCCCCCTGCAGGGACAGGCTCCCAGGACTGTCACCAGAGCCCACATGGCTGCTGTCCAGATGGGCACACTCTGGCGTTGGGCCCTCGGGGGAGAGGTTGCCCTTTCAGCACCTGCCACCAAAACAGGTAGCTGGAAGTAGATAGGCCTGAGCAGGGAGGCATTGCCTTTCCTGGCAATGCCCTTCCTGAATCTTGTAGCCCATGCCTGTTGACCGAGCAGGTCATTTGTTACTGAAGCCCTTCTGTCTGTAGGTATGGCTGCTGCCCCGATGGAGTATCGGCTGCCCAGGGTCCAAACAACATTGGATGCCCACAATATTACCATGACATTCGAATGAGACAAAATCATCCCACTGCAACCACTCCAGCAGTAAGTGCAAAAGCTCTTTGCATTTTAGGAGTCGATCAGATGTGAAGATACAGATTTTATCCTGCTGACTCACATTGTGGATTCCGTTGGGCTTCATCTCCGCCAGTATTGCTGAGGAACCAATACTCGAGGCATGGCATCAAGCCCTCTGGCCCACCTTGTTCCTGCTCAGTCTGGAGCATTCACCTGCAATCCTCTACAAGCAGGGCATAGAGCAGGTGGTGGGGAGATGTCTGAAAAGTAGAAGGCCATCCTGTGTAGACCTGATTGAATAATCCTGAGTAATCAAATTTCTGTTGGACAGAAGATTGCTATCCAGTTTCTAGGGAAAAAGAAAAAAAAAAAAACTAAAGGGAAAAGCTTGGCTTCTATTAATTGCTTTTGTTTGTCAACTCTGCAGATTAATTCAAGGTGGGGAGGTGATCCCTCCCATAGGTTGGGGTGCTTGTTGGTGGCAGCAATGAGAACTGGCCTGCTGCTGGGCTGCTTAGGTGTGCCTTGCAGAGAAGTGCAGCCCCGGTTCCATGGCTGACAGCCAGGTTTCCCACCCCTTCCCAGGACAAAAGCCTCTAGGAGGCAAACAAGCAAACAGTGGTGCCTCTAACAGCTGGCTGTGTGCAGCTGACAGCTTGCACATGGTGCCTTGCATGTGCTGCTGTCCTCATGTGTGAGGATAACTCTTGGCTTTCCATTCCTGTCTCCAAGGCAAGCCAAGCCTTGTCCCAGCAGCACCCCTCGGGCGAGTGCCGTGGCTCCATGTACGGCTGCTGTTTTGACAACGTCGCCTCAGCCAAAGGTCCTCAAGGGGAAGGATGTCTCAATAGGCCCAACTACCGTAAGTGATGATTTGGCTTATTGGTTTAGAAATACAACAAGAGTCCAGTAGCATATAGAAGTTTCCTGTGTAGAGGTTCTACCCTCTGTAAAATGTAGTAAATAATCTCTCTGAAGAGAATTTCTACCTGGTGGTTGGGGCAACAGAAACTTGGAGGGAGTGTAGAAAAGCAGCCTGGGGATTCAGCTCTGCCAGCTGCCGCAAAAGTTCTTGTTGTCCTCTGCTGATAGTTGGCAGAAGTGTGTTTGTGTGATCTCTGTCAGTCTGTAGGACTACTCAGGAGTTGTTTGTCCCTGAAAAGTCACTTTGATGCAGCCTGGCGTGCTCTGAATAAAATACCCAAGTTAAGGAGTAGGGATCTCATGTGGAATCAGGACAGTGCTCAGTCTTCAGATAGCCTGTGGACCGGGGAGGAATGAGAACTACATGGGGAAGGAGGGGTTGCTCAGGGCTGCATGGATGCCCTGAGCCAGCAAATTTCAATCCAGTGCCTGCTGTGCTATGAGGACACAAGGGCTGCTGGGCAAAAGCCTCTCTGCTCCTTTAGTTCCCAGCTGTACCCTCTGCAGGCACATTGCTGCTGCAGGGCCTTGCCCTCCTGCTGCAGCACAGAGATTTCTTGGTGGCCATCCCTGTGGTGCAGCCTTGGGGAAGGGGAAAATTCTCTGGATCCTCTCAGCTGAGCCACAGCTTGACAAAGCACCTTGCAGCCAGATCCCTGCATCCAGTGTTTGTCAGCTTTTGACTGTGATAACTGTGGCTCCGGGTTTCTAGATACCTTGGGTTGTGCTCCTCTTTATATCAGTGTGCAGGAGTATTCTGTTATGCATGAGTCTTTTTCACAGCTGGGTCTAAGCCACTTGCTTTGTGCAAATGGCAGCCATCGGTCCCTGGCAGGAGAGGAAGCCCCAGAGCCTGCTTTGCAGTTGCAGAATTCTCCAAGCAAGGCTGTAAAGCATCTGTCTAGTATGTAGATTCAGAAATGTCTCTGATGATGGTTCTTCCATCAGAGGCAAAACTGAGGCAAAAAGAAACATGTGAGCAGTTTCTCAGTTTCAAAGCACAGCTTTGAAGGACACCCAGGTGTCCTACTTTCCCACCTGCCCTTTGCCACAGGGCCATCAGATAAATCATCTAGGTAGGTGGCTTGAAGCCCCTGGACCTTTGTGCTTTGTGACCCTCACATCTCCCTCTGTTCCACTCCTTTTGGTAGCGTACCCTGTCATGTGCCTGCTGCCCAGTGCCCACGGCCCCTGCACCAACTGGACCACTCGCTGGTACTTTGTGGGAGTTGTTGGCAAGTGCAACCGGTTTTGGTATGGCGGCTGTCACGGGAACAAAAACAGCTTTGCCTCAGAGGAGGAGTGCATGAGAGTGTGCCACAGCTCTGTGGGGGTCAGTCATCTGGAACTCCAGCCCTCTCCTGGCACAGAAGCGCTGCAACACCAGCAGACTGGCTCCAGTTCTCACGCAGGACATGCTCAGGGTCAGCATAAATCACCCACAAGAGAGACCACAAGTCACAGCCAAGAAGGAAGAACCTATGGGGCTTCACTCCCCAAGCAAGACAGCCACAGCTGGAGGAGGGACATGCTGCCAGAGGCCTTGCCAAGGACTGGTGTGCTGGAGAGCCAGAGAAGAAGACTGGACAGAGTGGGCCAGCTGCCCTCCTGGGAAACAGCCATGCCTGGGCCCTCGGACAGGCAGAGCAGCAGTGGCCAGCAGGTGCTGCCCCGGGAAGGCAAGCAGTGGCGTGAAGCTTTCGGAGCAGATGTTTCCGTGACAGAGGGATTTGGGCACCAGGAGTCTGCAGACTTGTTCCCAGCACAGGCTCTGCACAGGTGATGACTTCCACCCACCCCTCCCCCCTGTTCTGCCTGCTCATTATGAAGCATAAGTGCAGCTTTCTCTGGAGTGAAAATGTTGCCTCAGCTGGGACTAGCTAACTGGGGATACCACATGATGGATTAGCTACGCATGTGGCCCTGTGGTAAATCAAGTCACTGGCATTCAGGCCCTGGCATTACCTGCTGTCTCTTTTTTCACACACTCCCTGGTCTCTGACAGCACTGAAGTATCATGTGTGAAAAGACTGCAGAATCCTGGGGTCTCTGTCTGGGAGGCCTTCTTACACTGTAAATGAGAATCCATAGGTGTTCTTCTTGTTCTGACCAACAAATTTAGCTGACACTCTGACTTCAGAGCCTTTATCTCAGACTGCATGGAGCAGCAGTGGGTTGTTCTAGGGAAGACTTTTAAGATGCAGACTTTGGGTCAAGATCCAGACAGTGTTACCCTGAAAATCAAGAGTGTGTAGAGCTAGATCTAAACATATCTGCACTGGATCTGTCTGTCTTTTGAGCTTTACCCTGTTCCTTCAGAAGAGGTGGGTTACAGGGCTTTCTTCCAGGAGATATTGTAGCATTCACTCTGTCCAGAGCAGCTTTTCCTCTATAGGAAAGGGCTCCCCATGTTGCCCAGTGCATCTGCTCAAAGCTGAATGGGCAGCTGGTCCTGCTTTGCCTTGTGGTTGTAACTCATCCAGAGTCACATGAAAGGACACAGAGGAGGGCAGCAGAAGTGCCAATGGAATCACTTTTTCTTTCAGAACAATCCTGGAGGAAGGCAAGCCCCCTCTTGTGACAGCAGTTGTGGGACAAAACATCCAGCTGGTCTGCAAGACAGGCGTGTCCCCTCTCTCCAGAGTGGAGTGGATGAAGAACAGCCGACCGGTCTCCTCTGACAGGTGAGCTCAGATCCCTTCATGATAGAGCAGATGGGCTCCTTGCTGGGCAGAGTGCCAAATATGCAGTCCAAAAAGGGCTGTCATGGTTTCACCCCAGCTGGCAACTCAGCCCCACAGAGCTGCTCACTCACCCCTGGTGGGATGGGAGAGAGAATCAGAAGGGTAAAACTGAGAAAATCCATGGACTGAGATAAAGACAGTTTAAAAGATAAAACAAAAGCCGTGTGTGCAAGCAAAGCAAAACAAGGGATTCATTCATCAATTCTCACATGCAGGCAGGTGTTCAGCTGTCTCCAGAAAAGCAGGGCCCCATCACACATAACAGTGACTTGGGAAGACAAACGCCATCACTCCGAGCTCCCCCCGGCTCCTCCTCCTTTCCCCAGCTTTACATGCTGAGCATGATGCCATATGGTATGGAATATCCCTGTGGTCTGTCAGGGTCAGCTGTCCCAGCTGTGTCCCCTCCCAGCTTCTTGAGCACCTGCAGCCCAGTGGCAGTGGGGTGAGAAGCAGAAAAGGCCTTGATTTGGTGTAAACACTTCTCAGCAGTAGTGAAAACATCAACTCTGTTTTCAGCACAAATCCAAAACACAGCCACATACCAGCTACTGTGAAGAAAATTAACACTATACCAGCCACAACCAGTACACTTGTTTTTTTAAAGAAATAAAGCCCCCATATTCATCTACTGTCCACCTGCTCTGTGCATAGCAGAAACAGGTACAGTCTGCACCAGTAATGAGGTGTTGGCTAGAGTTATGGGGCAGAGCAAGTGCTGTCCCATAACACTGGTGGAAGATGATGTGGGTAGCAATGCAGAAAAATATTGCTTCTCTTGGGTTCATCTTGGGGCAGAACGGAGCCAGTAGTTGGGTGTGAAACTTGCAGCCTAATAACCCAGAGTTCCTCTGGCTGAAAATCTCTGGCACAGTTGTTTTTTAAACTACTTTTAAAACCTGTTTTTCCTGGGAAGTCTGTTTCCAGCAAGTCTGTCTGGAGTCAGTCAGTCCTCTTGTGTTATGAAAATTGCAGTTAAGAAAAGCCCAGTTATGCTTTTCTGTTTGCAGTTGACTGCTGGGACTCAAGCTCCCCCCTGGAAGGGCAGTTTTCCTCCTTATGGGAGAGAGTTACTGAAAGCAGTTCCCTGTTTTCCATCTCAGTTTTCCTCTTTGTTCCTGACCTCCTTTCTGCTGCAGTTTTTCCCCCTGCCTGTGACCTGCCTGTGGTCAGCTGGGTTTTATTTTTTTCTGGGCCAGGGAGGGCACTACATGGGGATGGTTTGTATAACATCAGCCTGGGCTGGCCGCTGTGCCCTGGCGGGTTGCTGTGGGTGCCAGGGCAGGCAGTGCTCCCCACGTGTTGCAGGCACACCTACCAGTCTGACAGCTCCCTGGTGATCAGCCACGTCAAGCCCGAGGACGCTGGCACCTACACGTGCCTCACTTCTGACGGGAGGACAGAGAGCCGACAGATTCAGCTGCAGATCACAGGTGAATTGTCTTCTCCTCGGGACCAGAGAGGTAGCTCAGGGTTCCTCATTAATGGTGACTGAGCACAGGCTCAGTAAAGCCAGCTGCGGGAGGAAACTTCCTCTGCTGCCAAGAGGGAGTGTGGAGGAGCAGGGTCTCTTTTGGTGTTACCTCATAATAAAGCCTTAGCCCTAAAATACTTTCTCCCCTGCAGTGTCACCCCATAAATGGAGTTGTGGCTTGCCTGTAACCCACCCTATTTCTATCACAGCAAGTATGTCTTCCTCCCTGAGAGCCATCAGATGCCTCCTGATCTAAAACATAACTGCTGGTACATTTTTATGTTTTGTGTTGTGCCCAAACAGGTCCTGCTGGGTAACAAATAATTCCCTGTTCTGAAAAGTATGCCTTATTTCAGAAACAAAACAAAACAAAAAAATTAAAGACAAGTCTCAAAAGATGGACCAGAAAGGCACCCTGTAGCCTTCAATCTCTGAAGTGTGCTTTGTCACAGCAATGGCACATGGGGCAGAAGGCACTGTGGCCTAAGGGATGTTGCAACATGTTCACTGACAGAGGAGGAAAAGGAGTCTAAAATTGCTTGCCTGCAGGTCTATGACTCTCATTAGTAGACAGCGCAGGTTTACTGCACTAGTCAGCCAAAAGCAGATGGCTGAAGGGCTCTTTGGCTCCAGTTCAGCAAGCTCTCCCAAGCTCACAGAAACCCTACGCAAGAGGTCACAGTAAGAAGTGTCCTTTTATTCCCATATGGCATTTTGTTTTGAATAGACTACCAGGGCTCTGTTCTGGCCGAGGGTGAGCGAGGCCGGGCCCTCCAGGAGGCAGAGCAGCAGCGCCGAGGATTATCCAGAGGCAGGCAGCTCGTGCAGGCAGCCGGCTCCTCTGTGCGCCAGCAGCTCGCGTACAGGTAGGTTCACCTACAGCAACAGTTTGTCCACCGTGCCCAGCTGATGAGCCATATGGCATCTCTTCAGGTAGAAAAGCCAAAGACTGGAAAGGTCCCGGGTCAGCTGTTCCAGGGCACAGTTGGGAAGCACGCAGTACTGAACTGCTGACAACGGGAATGGGAGAAGATCCCAGTCGCAAGCTGTCTTCTGTCCTCCCCAAGGATCTCTTGAAAGAAGCATTCTCTGAGCAAAGTAAATGCACAGGGAAGCTGGCAGCAAAGGAGCTGAGCTCAAACAAAAGAAGTCTTGAGGCAGCATCCTGAACTGTTCATGTTAGTGCAGGCAGAAAGAGAAACCTGTTCTGAAAAAAGCAAAGCAAATGGGAGCTGCTTAACTAGCACAAAATAGACATATGTATATTGAAAAAAAAAAAAACCCTCAGCTCCTTCAGCCTCCACTAATTAATTTTAAATATTTTGTGAACAAACCAGTTTGACCCAAGACTGGCTCCTCACATACTGGCATTTTTTGTTGCTTCTTGTGTGGTTTTTCATTGCTTCTAGGCCCCATAGAAATAAAGGGAAACAAATTATTTTTGCCTTAAAAGAAGCATGTTGGGATTCCAGATTAAATAGGGCCGTGATCTGATCTCTCTCTTTTTTTGAGTTTACAGCCTAAAACCCAGCCAATTTGCTGAACTCTGCAGCAATCTTCTTAGCTGCTTCTGCCTAAAAGCAGTAATAAGTGATTCATTGAATTAAGAACATTGAATTAAGGCTCTTTGGTTTTATTTTTTGAGATCAAGAATTCAGGTCAAAGAATGGGGGTAGGGTAGATGACGTTTTGTTTAACTGTGGGAACATCATGGTTTAGTTCCCTTCTAAGACAGTGTTTAGCTGTAGTTATAAGACAGCAAAGTACTTGAGGAGATGAGTGTTGTGAGGACATGACCTCAACCTTTCTGCTGCATGAAGTGGACAACCAGCTCCTGGACCTTGTGCAGTAAGGTGATTACAACAGGCTCTTCACACCCTAAAAAGGCTAATTTTTGTGTGCTAGATAAGCACCCAAGGGGAAGCTTGCTCGGTTGCCTCTTTAGGACTTTGTACTGTTTGCCATGTGTTCACATTGTTAATGCTTCCTCAGCTGTTATCCAGAGGGTTGTTATAAGGGTTGCTGTCTGTAAAATAAGCTGGCTGACGGGAGTGCAGCACCAAGTTGTGCTGAACTAGAGCAGGATTTTATAGAGGCTGCTCTTTTCTGAATATTGGGAGTGAATGTTGCTAATGGCAAGCAGCAGAGCTCTCATGGGTGTACAGAGACCTCCCTTCACCACTGAAGGCAAAAAATAAGGCCTGTGATTGATAAAGCCTCATGCTGGAGGTCAAATGCTGAGCAAAGAAGTTTCTACGTCTTTTGGTGTGCTTGTGAACTTTGCAGGTTGAAAATGGATAAGAGTGATCCCACAGTAGTGGAGGCCAACGTTGGGGAGAGAGTCAGACTGCCCTGCACAGTGGAAGCATCACCAACTCTCACCATTGAGTGGCAGAAAGATGGGCAGCCCCTCTCCTCTCCCAGGTGAGCTCCCAGGTGGCTCCAACTGTTCATGAGGAGAGCCTCCTCCTTGCTTTTCCTTCCCTGTCTCCTCTCTGAGAGAACAGAGCTGTTGGCCATGCAACAAGGCTCTGGCTTTATACTGTCCAGCTTCCTCCATCAGAGCCAGGCCTGTCCTCCCTCCCTCCCTCCCTCCCAGATGGAAATTTTGAATGTTGAACCCTTGAGGAAACAGCTGTGACACAGGGTCTACAAGTGAGCCAGGGCTCAAATTTATTCAGCTACGAGGTTAGCAGAAAAAGAACACATGGCTAGCAAATTTGCCAAAAACCAGCTGGTCAGTGAGCAAGGGCAGAGGTTCACAGCAGAGAGAGATCAGGGCATCTGCAGTGAACTTCCACAGCTACTGGTGCTGGTTTCCCCTCTCTCTGTTCCCAGAAATCTGCTCTAGCAGCAAGTTTTTCCAGAGTCTTATAGCATCAGTGCCGGGATTTGAGGACTAAGGGTTGCATTACAACCCCTGCAGCATTTGAGCTGCTAAACCTTTGCTCAGTGGTTCTACAAGGTTGTGCACAAGGCTCAGCTTCACCTCTGCTGGCTCTCAGGAGTCCCATGCTGACCCAGGCACAGGCTGAGGGACATGCTGGCTTTGTTCCCCAGGCACAGGCAGCAGTCGGACGGGGCCCTGGTGATCAGCCGGGTCAGCTCTGAGGACATTGGCTTCTTCACCTGCATCGCCTCCAACGGACGTGACCGCGACCAGCGCCAGGTCCTGCTCCGGCCTCTAGGTACTGGGGGTGGCAGCACAGGAGTGGCAAACAGGGAAGGCTGTGCAGGGCCAGCGGGGGCTCCATTGCTGGCCGTGCCTCTGCTTCACATCTAGAGTTTAACAGGCATCCTGAGGGCAAGGGAGGAATAAGTTGTTTTACCCAGTGCTCATCTGCATGTGCCCAGTATATCATGGTGCTCCAAGCAGCTGGGAAAAGGGGATTGATAGCACAGTAAGAGTGACTCTCAGGGCCTTGTTTCTGGGACACTGGTGTGGGATGAGTATAAGAGCAAGAGAAACTAAGGAGATGGTTCTTCTGTGCATGTGATATGCATGTGTCCACCTGGAGGAAAAAGTTATTTGAGATCTCTGTTACTTGTGCTTTCTTGGGCCGAAGTCCTAGGAAATCCACATTCCCCGGAGCAGCAATGGCACAGCCTCAAACATGCTGTTTCAAGGTCCAGGGGCTTGTAGCTTATTATGGGATGTGATGGACTTTTCCCATGAGAGAATGCTCCTACTCCCAGAGGGAGGGTGGCATTGCTCCCCTGCTAGTGATGATTTCTCTTCTGGCCCAGGAGAGCTGAGGATCACTGGTCTTCTACCAAGCATCACGGTACCTGAGGGAGGGACTGCTCAGCTTCATTGTACAGTGACTGGCAACAATGTGAATATAAGGTGGTCAAGGTGAGCAAAAATGAGATGGAAGTTCCCTTTCCTTCTCTTCCCAAACCTCACAATTTACCCTCCAAATATTAGTGCAGGGTGTCTGCCAGGTATGGCAGAGACCACAGTTTTCAGCCCCAACTAGTGTCACCTACCCTTTCTTAAAACAACTTGGATGTTACCCAAAAATCCTGGGCAAGATCCCTGTGGGTTGTGGGGGTCATCACGTTCATGTTCCAGCCAAATAAGGAGAAAATCAGATGTTAAACTAAGATTTCATGGAGTTCAGAAGGGCTCTGTGCTGGAAAACTAGTGACATGAAAATAACAGTAATGAAAATGAGTAATCAGAGGAAATACTTTAGTTGCTTTTTAAAAAAACCCTCTGCCTAATTGTGACAGACATTTTAGGCCCTCTTTTCCCAGCTTCCTGTTGCAACAGTTCTCTCCATTTACTGTCAATGGCAGCAAAGGAGATTTAGAAGCATTTTAAAGTGAAAAGCTGTGTCCTCTTATCACGATAGTTTACCAGGAAACTCTGAATTTTCAGAGTGCAAGTGTTTAGTGAGGGTTGTTTTTCCTGTTTGAAAATAATCAGTTCTGCTTTGGAGCCTTCTTACAAACTATCCAGAGAGATGGATGGGTAAATGTTGAAATTCCAAGGGTTAGGGCTGAAATGGGCCATCTCACACACAGAGCTTTTCTTCTAAATTTGGTATTTGACCTAACAAAATGATGCATGTTTCGGAGTTGGAATGAAACCCTTTCCAGTGAAACAAATTTCTTTCATTGGTAACCAGGAGTTCACAATTCAGGCAGTTTTCCTGCTGGGCACAGATTATTCCAGGAGGAACTGAACAGACACAATCTTGCTGGTTTTTTTAACCAAACTTTTAAAGGGAGAGGAAAGAGGGCGCATTGTTCACTACCCTGTATGCTCATCAAGCAATATGTGCTGCTATCAATGCCAGCCAAACAAGTACTGCCAGACCACAACCTGGAGAGAGGGAAAGGCACACTGGATTTTCTCTTAGTTCCTCAAACCTCAAGAATGTGTGCTAGCAATGTCTTTGCACAGAGCACACAGACTCAGCTACCTCCCACGCAGACACTGGGCAATGGATGCAGACTCACTCAGGCTCATGTTACCACCCAACTGCAGGGCCAGGTTGTGCATAAGATTTCTTCCTTCCTGCTGAACTTGTAAAAATTTACCCCTTTCACAGACATAATTTTCCAAAGAGCACGGGGAACTCCTTTAGCACCCATGGGTGGCAATAGTGAAATATTTTGTTTTTTACCACAGGAACGGTGTTCCCATGCGGGGGGATGGCCACCACATCCACCTATCCCAGGATGGAAGCCTGACTATCAGGAATGTCCAAGAGGCTGACGAGGGATCCTACACATGCAGTGCCTACAGCAGCAGCAGCTCGGTCAGTGCCAGCTCGGAGGTGAAGGTGCTGAGGAGCCGGCCTAGCAGTGAGTACAGCCCAGCCTTCCTGCTTCTCCCAGCCTTCCTGCTTCTCCCAGCCTTCCTGCTTCTCCCAGCTTTCCTGCTTCTCCAGCCTTCCTGCTTCTCCCAGCACAGTGCAGGGCCCCTGGCCACTACTGCACCCGTTGTGTGTGCCAGTCCAGCACCAGCCTCGGGCTTTGGGGAGCAGCAGGAGCCTCTGCATTGTGCTGCCTCAGGAGCCCTGCTTTCCATGGACATAAAAGCAGGATGCTGGAAACACCCCCTAACCAGGCACTGGGAACCTAATTAACTTCCTGAGGCCAAAATGCCACAGTTGCTTAACCAAATAGTCGGCTGCATGATTTGTAGTTGGACTTTGGACCCCATCCAGCTATCTTTACATAGAGGCTAGGTAGAATAGTCTTTCCTCTCCCTGGAAACTGCATTTTCCTGCTGTATTTCACCAGAGGTGTCTGTTTCATCTTGAAACTCATCATCTCCTTCTTGATGTTGGACTAAATTTAGAACTGGTGGGGTGGAGGAAGAGGGAAAGTGCTGTCTTTTGGGATGGAATAGCAGTCTGAGGATAAATTTACAGCTGGTTCACCCTTTGCTTGGCTGCAGCTATTGTGAGTCACATTGTGGACCCGAGCAGAGAGTGCGTGGACCAGCCCCACCTTGCCAACTGTGACCTGATCCTGCAGGCCCAGCTCTGTGGGAACGAGTACTATTCCAGCTTCTGCTGCGCCAGCTGCGCTCGCCACCGCCCCCAGGGCAGCCCCCCGCACCCCCGCGGGTGACAGCCACCGCCACGGTGACCAGTGACAGGACTGGAGTCTCAGCTCTGTGCTTTTACTGCATGGGACACTTCCAGGAACTCTGCCCTGCTGGAAAGCCCGAGAGGGTGAATTGAACAGCGTGTAGTGAGTGTAAATGCTCAAAGGTGGGAGACCCACCACCCTCAGGTTTATTGTAAACTCTTTTTCCCCTGTATGCCTTGCTGTACCTAACCCATCTCTTAAGAGTAGTTGCTGTCATTCACAGAAACCAGATGATAGTAGGGATGTAAGGATGATGTGACTAGAGGAGGCAGATGACCAGCATGAAAAAGGAAGAGACCAATTCTTCGTACAAGCCAGAGAGAAGTGCTCTTAAAAATAATATAATCTCTGAAGTGTTTGAAGATGGGCCTGAACCATTTCAACTGAAGCACTAATGAGCCATGAACATTTGTTCCTCCAATGAACATTGCTGAACAAGTGCTCCCAGGGAGCACTTTCCATCTAAATGCAAAGGACTCTGGCCACCAGAAATAGCTTGATGCATATAAAATTAGTGTTCAGGTCCTAGGAGATTACTGGCTCTCGGGATGCAGCTGTAATGTCATGATACTGTAGCTGTTTTATTCCAGCAGTCCTTAGACAAATTTCTGGTAGGGTCAGTTTGGTTTCTACTTGGCTGCAATCAGCTTTGGAGTGAAATGCAGAAAAGCAAGGCTTTGCAGAAAGCTTAATAGAAAATAGAAAACTGCTTTTAGCCCTTCCTGAAGGCTAGGGGTAATTTAGATGACTATACCAACACTGTTACCTGTCCTGAGCTGCTGCAGTTTAAATAGCACTCATTCTAGGAAGGCTCAGCAGGTAATCTTTTTCCCCTGAGCTGGAACTGTGCTGTTCTGACGTTGTGTTGAGTTTGGGCAGGGGCTAATAATAAACACATAGAAATACGTGTGTAGGAGCATTTCACTTGCCAGAACAAACCTCCCAAGGATCTGCTCTAGTCTCAGTTAAATCCAGGAAAGCCTGGCTCTGCATGTGGCCTGGGCTGATACCTGTTGCTACAGTTAGGACTTCCAGATGCAGAGCAGCTGTAGCTGAAAAGCATCCTTCATTTCAAGATCAAAATGCAGTGTCAACAAGTGTGCATATGAGGCTCTGAAAATCTCAGGCATTAGGGGTGGGGAGGTGAGATTATATTATGATTATATCATGTTAAACCAGGAAAGGCCTTGGGTGTCTTCAGTATCTCAAAATGGAATTACTTTTGAGAAAAGGATTCTTTTACAGCCTCCACACTACTGTTCCACCCTAGCATCAGCCCTGACAGTCTTCTTCTTCCTCATTCTAGACTTGGATGGGTTGATCATAATTATTAGCAACATTACCCATGTATTATTTGCATAGATGTAGGTATAAACGGGTGTGTAGATGTTGGTATTTTGGTTGCGGGGATGGAGGATTGGGTTTTTTTACTTTTGTCTTCTGCTTGTGTTACTTTAAGACTTTTAAGAAATGCAGTTAAATCAGCACAGGTGTGGTTCAGGACTGAACACGCTGCTCTAGGATGTGAACAAACGGTGAAGTCTACAAACAATGCAGTACAGGAGAGACAGGTGACAGTCACAGCTATTTGGGGCTGGGTCCTTCTTTGGTCTGACAGATTCTGTTTGCTAGGAGAGACAAAAATACTTATTTTGCATTTAAGACCCTTTAATTTGATTAGGGAAAAATTCCTCTGCTGGAATGCAGGGCAGACATTACAGTAAAAGGTTTGAAATCATTGGATATTTAAGAACAATGAGATGGTCCTGAAAGTATCCACTTGTGTTTGTACGTTTTTCCATTTAACATCTCAGACCACCACCTTTTTCTCTGTGTGTCTGTATGGGATATTTTACCATTTTAATATATGATACAATTTTTGCCTTTGGAGACCAGGGGCTAATCAGAGACTCTGTAAATTCCAGTCATTTTGAAGCCCTCTCTGTTCCATGTGTGGCATCAAGGGGTAGTCAGGCTCTGCTCAGGAGCATGGTTGGAAGTGGATTGTGGATGTGTCAGGCCTTTTTGTCCCACAGTAAGTAGCCAGTTCCATAAAATCCCTAAGATGTCAGAGGCTTTATTGTTAGAATATTTAAATATTCTGTGTAGTCAGCTGTCATTATGTAAGATGGGGCCAGGAAGTGCTTTCTCCAGACTCCTGAGGGCTGTAACAGCCCCGTGCCTGCTGATGGGCAGGACTTTAACACTGGAAGTGCTTTGGCTAGTGGAGTGGAGAGTTTACACTGACTTCCTTTCAGCTGCACAACCATGGCAGTAAGGGCGGGAGTGACAGGCAGGCAGCTCCCTGCTGTAAATCCATGTCATCAGGTTAACTAAAGGGTCTTTGCATTTCTTCTGACAAGATCAGCTTCTCCCTCTCTGTAGTACCACTTAATCACCCACTCAAGGTTTACTTTTTTATGTGAGAATCAAGATGTTAGTTTTCTTCCCTAAACAATGGGTTGTAGGAAGTGCTTATCTCCAGGGCAGGAGAAGGGTGTAGCTATACTGGGCTATTTTCAGCTTCATCTTGGGGCCCTTACTGTGAAAGATATATACCTAACTGCTTTCTTTCCTACTATAAATGTTTATAAATACTTGTTTGCTTTTTGAATGCTGAAAAAAGCATTGACACCACCTCAAATCCCACAGGGAGTGTTTGCATCACTATTCATACCATACTGAACACAGGTAAGAATCTGTAATGTTACAAGTTGTAGTTTTCTAGACTATCACTGTAAGACTCACTGTACTTGTTTGAAAATGGAAACTGCTGGCAAGCTCAAATCTGAGGGCTAACAAAGGGAGTGTTTCTTCCCCTTCAGGTTATGGAGTCTGACTTTTTTCCCTTGTGTCTAAACTGACGTGGTGCCCATAAGAATGTGGTAAGAACCAGTCACACTAACAGGGCAGATATCAACTCACTGGAAGAACAGAAAAGAGGTGACCATACACCATCATCTCATATGGCTCTTTCTAACAGCAGGGGAAAGAAAGAGTCTTCCTTTTTGCCATTACTGAATGTTAATGAATTGTCTCTTTGTAAATATTCCATGACAGAAAATACAGCCCTGCAAACCCAGAATCTGATGTTTTCATTAAAGGCCTCTATTTTAGAGCTTAAAGTGTTTATGTATCACAAGGATAGTTTGAAATTCAGTGTTAAAGTTCAATGCAACCTAACAGGTTGTAGAAAATGAGATGTGTTAAGATATTATTCTTAAGCTGCTAGGTCAGCAAGTAGTGCTCATCCACATCCACCTTACAAGACAGAAGATACCCAGAAGGGCAAATGCTGAAACTGAGTTAGGGTGAGAAAGAAGTCTCTCACAGACAGTGCTTCTACCACCAACATTTATTTCTGTTAAAGCAGATTATAAATCATCAGTACAAATATATATAACTTACATTTGCTTGTAAGGCCAAAGTTTAAAAGTAAAGTTAAAATGAGATGGTTTTCACAAGTCACCAGAGGCAGAACCTGGACCAGCTGCAGCCTTAACCACAAGGTTTCACAAATCAGTGGGAAAAAATAAAACCAAAGTTAAAAACCTCTAAGAACTACTGACAGACAAACATAAAATGGTTTCCCAGGCAGCCCCAGGATGTAGATATGATGACAGTAAGTTGTCACAGTAGTGTTAGAACCAATAGATTAAGACAAAGAAACTGCAGCAATATATGAAAGGAAAAAAATTCATACTATATAGAATATGTAGACTGATTCCAATAAAAAACAGTAAATTCTCCCCATGGTTTTCAAACCATGACAATACTGTTCTTTAATTTTATTTATTTAAAACTACGATATAATGACTTATTGGTTGTGATTGTTGTTGCAATATGCTACTTACAATGAACAGATACAAGAACAAGCTAGAGCCCCTTTTTCCACCCCCCCAATATTACTTACTATAAGAATCAGCGATAAATCAATCTTATGTACAATTTCTTACATCCAACCCCCTTGTTTTTTAACCTTTGGCAAGATTACTTACAACTCATACAGCTTTTAATATCCAACTATTTAAAATATTCTAAATGCATAAAAATAAAGATTTTGGCTTTACTTTATTCTTTACATATAATATTCACTTTGTTACTCAAAATGGAAGCTCAACTTTTTCCACAAACCTAGCTTTTGCTAAGGTGACAACATCCCACCCATATCCACCCCCCACCCTACCCAATTTCTCCCTGAGGGGGAACATCCAGGGCTTGCAGGGCATCAGGAGGACACAGGTACAAACATCTGCCTTCCTTTCTGTGAGATGATTGATGTTTCTGCAGAACAGGCTTTGGGACTGGGTGCCATTCTTCGCTCCATTTGACTTCCAGCTTTCCAAGAGAGGAGGGAACACAGACTGGGGTGGTTCCAGGATTCCTTTTAAGAACTGCACATTAAATTCTTGGTGTGTTTCCATCCTCCCCATAATTGCTCCCTCTTTCTAACCCATTTTTGTTCGAAGGGACCGTTGGGATTATCAAAGCAAACTGATCAGAAAGAGTCCCCTCTGCTCCCTTTATCCCTCTAGCCTAATGTACAATTTCCCGCCGCGCCCAGGAGCGCTCAGAGTTCGATCTCGAATGTCTTCTGTAGGTCGCTGGAGAAGGGGTTGGTGGGGGAGGGGTTGGTGCGCTGCTTGGCCTTGCCCTCCAGAGCTGCCCACTGCGCCTCAAAGGGGTCGACCTGCGGGGCGGGCGCGGGCGGCTGCGAATGCTTGTCCTCGGCAGCCCATTTGCCGCCCTCCACGCCGTTGAAGGCGGCGGAGCCGTTGTGCTGCGCGGGCGGGTGGAAGAAGGGGCTGGCAGTGGCGCTGCTGCTGCTGCTGTCGTACTGAGGGGCCGACTGCTGCTTCACCAGGCTGGGGGACTGGTGCGGGTGGGCCGCCGGCGTGTGGCTGGCAGTACCAAAGACGTTGGCCACCATCTGGGAAGGTGTGATCCCAACCACAGGGACACTTGGGGCTGCATAGGTCATCCCATTTGCTACAGCATAGGGCTGAGCTGGAATAAATGCTGGCTGCATGGGCGGTACCACGCCCACCGGCACAGGCTGAGGCGCAATGAAGGTGCTGACTGGGAAGGCTGGTGCTGACTGGGAGGCTGGAGCTGCTGGAGGAGGCTGGAGCAGTGGCTGTGGGGCTGGGGCTGAGGTTGGCTGCTGCTGGGCTCTGACAGTCTTTGAGACTTCTTCCAACCAGCGGTCTGCCTCTGAGGGAGTACGTCTGTGATTTCCTTGGAAGAGACTCGGTGAGGCCGCACCTGAGGAGGTGCTGCTCCATTCTGTGCCTGGGAAGGAAAGCATGGGCAAGTCACTAATATTTCCACTCCTCATCCTTTTATTGGTTAGAAAGATTGGAGGGTGTACACAAGAACACACAGGCCTCCTCCTGACATGACTGAAAGATGCTCCCACCATTGGAAGCATCTTTATGCATCCACTGTACTGTTCTGTTCTAGGAAGACATTCTTCAAGATGAAGTAGACAAGCACTTCTTCACTTAAGTGCAGATTTAGGGGGTTTTTTTTCTTCATAGCAGACATCTAAGACTTTAGGGGATGCAGGAAAGCTGCTGCCTGCACTCATAACTTGGTGGCAATGATCTAGTCCATAATCACTAATCCCCCTAACTGGGAAGTATCAGTTTCTGAATGCACAGCTCAGGACTGGTAGACTTGGAACACAAAGGTCTAAGAAACTGTTTTACAGACAAAGTCTGGTGCTCTTACAAGGCCAAGCAGAACCTACTATTTCACTAGCGAAGTTTCTAGTTTCTCTCGTGGAGTGGGGCTTACACCATGACATGAAGTAACTCAGACTGCAGCCTTCTAGCACATGTGCCCACATGGGTGACCACTTCACCTTACACAGTGCAGACAAGGCCTGGAGGGACAGACTAAACTTACTAAACAGAAGAAATGAACCTCTAAGCCATTAAGCAACCAACTTATCCCTCCTTACGTACATTAGTGAAAAGAACACAAAAATTATTTTGAGTACACACAGATTCTTTTCCTTTTATGCACACAAACTTGCATACAACTTCATTACTTCCTTTTCAAGCACTGATTTTATAAAATGCTGCCAAAGTAAGAATCAGTCCAGGTTACAGACCTAGCACCAGCAAGTTCATCGCTTCCCTCCATCCACTCGTGCAAAATGCTACTACTTCCGGCTTTTGTTCCTGTTCCTTCCATTTGCCATTAAGTGGCACTGACAATTGTCTCAGGGGCTCAATTATGCTTTTGATCCAAGTTCTTATAGCAATGCACCGGATCTACTTCCAGTCTTACCAGCGACCACGGCTGCAGCTCCAGTATTAGCAGCAGGAGCATGAGCCCAAGGATTGGTTTCACGAACTGGCATAGCTGTGGACACTACAGCAGCTTGGGATGGTTTAGCAGCAAGCACACAGAAGGCAGAGGCAGTGCCATTAACTAAAATGGAGCAGACAACATCAGTGCAATTAATTCATGCAAGGCATGCACGTGACTGGAGTATTAGTGGGCCGGGTCATACCTATCCACATACAACACTTTTAGACACTTCCACATGACAGGAGTTTGTGTAATTAGCCAAACTGGACTGACAGTCAATACAGGCAGTAAATTTCATTTCACCAAGCCAACACTTGTTAAGAGAATCATGGGATGGTGGATTTTGATGTCTGTTAGGAGGCCTTGAGTTCTGATGACTGACTGAAGTTAAATTTGTTGTTTCCATAAGGAAGAGATATGGCTCACCAGTAGTTATTGTACAGTTAATTTTAGATTAAAAAGAACACTTGGTAGATACAAAGTAACAAAAACTACATTTAACATGGAGAGGTTCTTTTTTCACACAACTTCTATAAAAGCATAGCAGTGAAATGAATACCAATGGCTGCTATGAGTTCTATAGTTGGCATTTTTCCACACCTTATCTAAGAATTTGTGTAAAAAAAAGTCATCGTGGTGGCACAAAATCCCTTCCCTTGCAAGATTTGGTTCCTATGACACACTCCTATGCAGTTCAGGAGGCAGAATGATAAAATAACCATTACCTCAAAGCCTGTTCCTTTTAGAGGTAACTATCGTGTGGTAGGTGCATGAACTTATTGTTAAAAACAAAACCACAGAAAAATTAAACAGACACGATGAATAAAGCAGGATGCATTCACCCAAAATACTGGTAACAGGACTTGCACAAGAAATTAAGACCACGTGTTACTAGAAAGCAACATTATGTGCATTCAAGCCTCATCCAGCACCCAAAGAAATCACAAACCTTGAAAGGCAGGAGACTGTGGTGCAACTACTGTCACTGGTTTTGTCATGGGGGCCGAAGAGAAAGGATCTTCTGATGGTGTGCTGAAAGCACTGGTGATCTGAGAGCACAGGGCACTAATGCTGTCTGTTTCCCCTTCTACCTCTGGGACTAAAATGTAAACAGAATTAATTAAATTGAAAGTTTAAAGGATACAGAAACAATTTACAACTACCAATGTGAAATTGAAATATAATTAGTTCCCTTATGTCCTACATGTTCTTGCTACTGATTTGCATGACAGCTTTTTTTTTTTTACATTAGTGTTGAAGATCTGGCCTGAAATAGAACACCACATTAATGTATATTGTGATTAAGTCAAGAGGGCAAGGAGATCACTGTTCCAGATTTAAAGGATGCTCATATCAGAAAAAGAAAGGGTTTTCTACAGTTTAAGTAGAGATCCAAATCTTTCAGTACTAAAGTGCTAAACTTCTCAAGGGTTTGGCTCTAAGATTTGGCATTCTATGAAATGAAAATACTTATACTAGATTTAACTGTTCCAACAACATACTTGTACAGTAACTAGATGAACTTTAAATGTACTGACAGCAATGCACAGTGGCAAGTTCAGTCTAGAGTCAGTGTTGATTGTTCCAGTTCAGTGGTAGCTGAAATCCCCATCTCCTGTGCTAGAATCATAAAAGCAAAAGCTGAATGCTCAGATAAAATGGATGCTCAGTTTTAAACAAAGCATCAGTGGATAATGTAACATCTGGAGTAAAGCTGCCAGCTCACCAGATGTTGTCATTATTACTAATGGCAGTGTTTTCCAAAAGTACCAATCATCAGTCCGTCATTGCACAGAACTGACATGAGCAGGCATCATCAAGCACAAAATAGTGTAAGAAACATAAAATGTCTGCACACAACATGCACCAGATCTAAAATTCAGGGGGAGGCATGCCCAAAAATTGATTCTTTGAGGGATATTCCAATACAGTGCATGCAGTGGGACAGTAAGCAGCACTGGCAGTGGCATATATGGGAACATGCATCAGAAATGTCCCGAATCAGGAAATATTGAGATTCTGGTGTGCTCAGTGACTATCACTACTGAGCAGTGCACTATTACTGTAAAACTGATTGGCTCAGTGCTGGTCTTAAAGCACAGGTCACTAAACAAGGATTATGAAAGAAATCAGACTAAGTATTTTTGTTGGGTTTGCCTTTGCCACACTTATTTTTACTTCAAAGCTTAGAACCCTAAAACCAGCTCTGTTGCCAAGTGAGAGTACAACTGGCCTG